AAGGGGGGGCGGCGAACACCTGGCCGGGACTGAGCCTGGGCTGGGGGTTAACACCCCCCTGACCGAAAAGCTTTAAGAAGGAAAGGAGGGAGGGAAGAACTTTATAAAGGAGTCAGTAGAGAACAGATTTAAAGAAGGAAAGAGGGTGAATGAGTGAACTGTAGGAGCTATAATGAAAAATCAAAGTATAGTTGTGTACTGGGGACAGATTTTAAAAGTAGGAGTCAGAAATGAAAAAAGATAAACGATAGTAATTACGCAAGTAGATAGATAGATATTAACAGTGGAAGTAAGTAGAGAAGAATGTATGGGAAAGGTAGGATGAGAGAGCAAGAGGGAGGGGAAGAAAAGTTTTAAAGGGGAGCTGGTAGAGCTTAAAAGGAGAATGAGAAGAAGGAAGAAATGGAGGAGGGAGCAAAGCAGGTCCAAGGAAGTGAAGAAAAAAATTAAGGTGGGAAGGAAGGAAAAGGGAAGTGAGGGCAGGGGTAAAGATAAAGGAAAGAAGGAGGGAGGGAGGGAGGGAGGGAGGGAGGGAAGGAGGATAGAAGAAAGATGGGAAGAAGATGGAACAGAAGTAGGAAATAAGAAGGAAAGCAAAGTTTATAAATGATGAGTCAGTAGGAAAAAGTGTCACTTAAAGGAGAGAAAAATTGTGTGAGAGGGAGAAGCCAATAAGGAAGTCAAATTGTGTGTGAAGGAGATAAGATTTTTTTAAAAAAAGGTTAATAGGGGCGACCAGGCTGGCAGGGGAGAGCAGTTAGGGGGATCAGGCCGGCAGGGGAGGGCAGTTAGGGGGATCAGGCAGGCAGAGTGGTTAGGGCAGGCAGTTGAGCGGTTAGGAGCCAGAGGTCCCGGATTGCGAGAGGGATGTCCAACTGGCAGTTGGACATCCCTTGAGGGCTCCCGAATTGGAGAGGGTGCAGGTTGGGCTGAGGGACTGCCGTTCTCCCCCCACCCCCTGCATGAATTTTGTGCACTGGTCCTCTAGTATTTTATACTCCTAAATATAAATATTTAGAAATAAAGATTATCAACTTAGAAATATATGGGGTTGTCTTTTAGTTTCAAGTAATAGTTCATGTAATGAATTATATTGTTTATTACATCTTTTTCTATATATTTATTAAGGAGTTATTCAGAAATATATGCAAATTAATTTTTTTCTTGTATGATTTAAAAGTTCATCTTAAATGCCTTGTGCAGATTTTGGGGGTTCTAAACCCTAATGTGTAGACTTTTTAAAAAGTTCTGTTTCTTTAGATAGAAAGCATCACAATATTGATTTTTATGTATTATTAGGATGCCATAGATATTTAGTATTCTAATGCAACTAATAATCACATGTAAGATTCTGTTTATAATTAAGTTCATCAGAAAAGTGGCATACTGTATGAGAAAACATTTCTAAATTGCACATTTTCTGGGTGAATAATTGCATTTTTATTTTATCATCATCATCTTGGTTATTTAAAGAAACTTATATAAGTTTATATAAAAGAAAATATAAATTTGAGAAATCATGTCATTACCGGGTAATTGCCACTTCTTTCCTTCTTACTAAATTGTTTCATGATTTCACTTATATGTGGAATCTCAAGGTCAAAACAAAATAGCAAGCAAAACAAGAGTTACAAACCCATATATACAGAAAACAAACTGATGGTTACCAGAGGGGAAAGGATTGAGGGGCATGGGTGAAACATGTGAAAGGCACTAAGAGGTACACATTTCCAATTATAAAATAATTAAGTCAGAGAGATGTAGTGTACAGCATAGGGAATATAGTCAATAATATTGTAATAACTTTGTATGATGACAGAAGGTTACTAGAATTGTTGTGGTGATCACAGATATCCAATCACTGTGCTGTACATCTGAAACTAATGTAATAGTGTGTGTCAGTTATACTTAAAAAAAAAAGTTGTTTCGTACTTTCTGGTATTATTTGAGTTATATTTTGAGACTGACTACTTTGTATTAGTTCGCTTTTTTTTTTTGCTTTAAAGTAAATTAACATAGGAACACATTCTATATTAAAATTTAGAGTTAAAATATTTTTTGTTGTGTTTTGTTATTACTGTTTAAACAGGCCTTTGTTGAAAATAATCCTGCCATTAAATGGTGTCCTACTCCAGGCTGTGAAAGAGCAGTCAGACTAACAAAACAAGGGTCAAATACATCTGGGTCTGATACACTCAGCTTCCCCTTGCTCAGAGCTCCTGCTGTGGACTGTGGAAAAGGACACCTCTTCTGCTGGTCAGTACAAGACAAGTTGGAATTAGCCTAGGCACCTTTCTAATAGTTTTTAAAGAATTTGTACCTTCAATCAGGCTTTTAAATTCTACTGTTTGGTATTATTCTTATTAATTAAGTATATTGCATATACATTTATTGTGTGCTTGATATGTGCTGAGTACTGTGCCAAATATTTTGACATATTGAGTTCTCCTGTCTTTGCTACGAGTTGAGTGCTGTTATTATATCCATTTTACAGATAAAGAAACTCCAGCTCAGAGAAGTTGCCCAGGATTATGCAGCTAAGAAATGGCAGAAATGGGATTAGAACCCAGCTCCATTTGGTTTCAGAGCCCATGCACTAATATCAGATTGCTGACCACAGATTAGAAAATGTTTAGAGTTTCACTTTATTCCTTAAAATAAAAGTCTCCAGCCCTGGCCAGTATGCCAAGTGGTTAGAGCATTGGCTCACGCACCCAAGGGTCCTGGGTTTTATTCCCAGTGAAGGGCACATACCTGGGTCGCAGGTTCGCTCCCCTCCCCCAGTCAGGGCATGTGCTCTCTCACATTGATGTTTCTCTTTCTTTCTCTCTCTGTCTCTCTTTCTCTCCCTTTTTCCCTAATGCTCTCTCTGAAAAGCAGTGGAAAAAATATCCCCAGGAAAGAATTAACAAACAAACAAAAAATCTCTAGCAGTGATTCTTAACTAGGGATGCCCAGAATTACTGACAACTTTTCCAAATTTTCATCCCAAGCCTAGCAAGTCATGTTTTGATTTAGTAGATTTTGGAGGAGGGATCCAAAAAGCTCTTAGATAATTCTAATGCACAGACCTAGTTAGGAACTACTTTGTGTGTCTTTAATTTCCAGTGCCTGATGAGTACTCAATAAGTATAAACTGATGATAAATCAATAATGGGTGGTATGTAACTATGTTTGTCTGACATCAGTATTCTAACTTTATTCAGAGTAGATTCAATGATAATTAACTTTTATTTAGCCGAAACCGGTTTGGCTCAGTGGATGGAGCGTCGGCCTGCAGACTGAGGGATCCCAGGTTCGATTCCGGTCAAGGGCATGTACCTGGGTTGCGGGCACATCCCCAGTGGGAGATGTGCAAGAGGCAGCTGATCGATGTTTCTCTCTCATCGATGTTTCTAACTCTCTATCTCTCTCCCTTCCTCTCTGTGAAAAATCAATAAAAATATATTTTAAAAAAAAACTTTTATTTAATTAAATGATCAAGAATATAAGTAGTATTTTTTCATTTTTGCTCATTTATAGATTTATCACATATGCAAGGATATACTTTAGATGAATATAATACTCTACTCTTTACTTATCTACTTATTAGAACCAAAATTAAATTATAGACTTGCTAGATAGTAAAAAGGCATAGTAATAAAATATTCCTATCCTGAAAGATCTGTTTCTTACCCTCAGCATCATTGTCATTAGCTAAAAATATTTATTCACCTGTCAACCTATATATAGCATAAACTCTAGGTCAGGTGTTGCAAACTGTTACCCACACCAATTTTTGAAAATAAAGTTTTATTGGTCTTGGCCACCAAAAATTTTATAACTTCCTGTTCTTATTCCTATAGTAGAGCTTTTCCTGTAATCAGAAATTTCAAAAAAAATTTTAAATAAATTCTGAGTAGAATTCTGCTCTTCTGTAATGTCTTAAACAGAGAAAAAAATCTGCTGCATGCAAAAGGAAGCTTTGCAAGAGAGATCTTTATAAAATAAAGGCATGTGATTCTAGGTTTGCTTCTTTCTTTCCCCAAAAAGCTCAGAAATACTCTTTAAAGATGATTACAAAAACCACAAGAAATGGCAATAATAATTTCTTCTTTTTAAGAGCAGCATGTGACAGAATCAGTTGAGAGTCACTCCCAAGAGATGTCTGCCTGAGTAGAACTGAATGTATTCATTGTTAGGAGGGAAGGTAGGAGTAGGCATTTATTTCCCTTCCCACCAAAGGATAGCCTTTTCTATTATAAATTGTTCACCAACCAGTTCTGTACCCTTTATAACTCAATCCAGAACGCTCTCTCCCCAAGCCTGTATAACTGCAAATTTGTCTCATCTTGACAATGTTATCCCATCAAAACCTGAATGGACTCTCACTTGAACCAGTGACCGTCTGCCCTCTGTTTTTCTTTTTATTAAGTAGAACATGCTACTACTTTGCCCTCTGGACTGACACAAAGTCTTTTTTTCTCTGAGTTAACTCCTTAAAGATTTGTTATCATAAATACTTCTTGATCACCAAAATCTTAATCTGTGAGGAGAAAAATTCAAAATTACCCTGGTATAGTGGTCATTTCTCTCCTTTGTCAACTCTGAATGTCTCCTGGTTCCTTTAATCACAAATATATCTGTTGGAAACTGAGAAACTTACTTGGAATTTGTCTCTTCTAAATCCGTGCAAGTCAAACTTATTTTAAAGTTATTCACTGAAATTGACTGGCATGAATATTCTAAGTAATAAAATGGTGACGTTTTTAATATATCATGTAGCTTTGGAGCGTTTATTTACTGAACCTATGCAAAGAAGCTTTAAAAATGGTGTCACCACCACCAGGAAACAAATTTGAACACCTGATAAGAAGGTTTGAATCACAGTGATACACCTGGTGAGGTCACAGTATCGGGTTTCTAGTCCTCTTAACTTTCTAGTGAGTCTAGAGGGCACCATGCAGACCTGTTAAGTACTTGGGAAAACTTGGAATGTTAATATCTTGGCACTAAAATTGTATGGTTCATTCTGGTTTCCTCCAATACCCAGGATAAGGATTTTAATACTGCATGCTCCCTTGTTAGGGTCATGAATCTTGATTGAATTAAAGCAACATTTTCATGCTTCATCTCCTTCTCCATCGACAGACAAAGGGACTCTTGATTTACGAGTCCACTGGGTGCCCTGGCTGGTTTGGCTCAGTGGATAGAACGTCTGCCTGTGGACTGAAGGGTCCCAGGTTCAATTCCAGTCAAGGGCACATGCCAAGGTTTGCGGGCCTGATCCCCAGTAGGGGACGTGCAGGAGGCAGCTGATCAATGATTCACTCTCATCATTGATGTTTTTATCTCTCTCTCCCTCTCCCTTCCTCCCTGAAATCAATAAAAATACATTTTAAAGAAAGATGTAAAAAAGTAAAAATCAATGGAGTCCTAACCGGTTTGGCTCAATGGATAAAGCGTCAGCCTACGGACTGAAAGGTCCCAGGTTTGATTCCGGTCAAGGGCATGTACCTTGGTTGTGGGCACATCCCCAGTAGGAGGTGTGCAGGAGGCAGCTGATCGATGTTTCTAACTCTCTATCCCTCTCCCTTCCTCTCTGTAAAAAATCAATAAAATATATTTTAAAAAATCAATGGAAAATATCCTCGAAAATAAATACATACATACATACATACATACATTCATACATAAAATAAACAGAGGTAATAATATTAAAAAAGAGAGAGAGAGAAAGTCCATTGGGCAAAATAAATGAGGCTGTCCTTGTTTGTGGACCTAATAGTTGAGTCTCATCCTTTCTTGCAAAATCAGAGTCTTAGACCCTTACCTTAATAGCTCTGGTTCTGGGAAAAAAAGATTTTCCCAGACTGGCAGTATTCAGCTATTTAAGTATCAAAGTTTTTCCAGCTAACAGAATATTCCCCATTTTTTCTAGGCCAGGAATGAAAACAGGATGCTATTTATGTATTTGGTAGAGATCAATCATAAGACCGTGTTTAAATATCATGTCTTCTATACAAAGTAGCATACCCATATAAATACAGGTTTATCCCACTACCCTCAAGTGTTCCTATGAAACCTTTCGTAAGTGTAATAAGTGGAATGACATAAAGTGAAAATGCAGTGACCATTCTTTTATACGGAAAAATTTTGAGTGTACCCAGACCCAAAATATAACCTATCAAATCATACCAAGTACCACATTAAACAGCACCAACATGTAGTAAAAGCAGCACCACTCTCGCTGCTCCAGTGCATGCTGATTATACAGTGGCCTGCTGCAAGACCAGTGCTGAATGCCATTTTCACTTTCTGCCTTTTTTTATTTTTCTGCCAATGGTTGTGCGTGTTGACACATTTTCAAGGAAAGAACCATCCCTTGATCTCTTGAAATTAGTTAACCTTCATATTTGGATAGGGTTAAGAATTTTAGATTAGACAACAATTTTTTTCTTTATAATTTCTTACCAGGCACTTTTTCCCCTAAATGAATCCACTGTATTAATTTCAGTCGACTGTGTGCCAAAATTCCCCTTCCCATTCACTTGTTTTTAGTGACATTTTGAGGTGCAATCTCAACAATAGGTACCAGGTCTGTCAGAATACTTGTCATCAATCATTGGTGTTTTGATTGAAACTTTCTTCAGGAATTTAGGTTTCAAGTACCTGAGAATATTCCAGTATCTTCATTACTTCTCTCAGAAGAACCTCACTTCCTACACACTGATAATCCAGATCATCAGTCACCTATCAGTCAGTAGCATTGTTATTACCAGACTTGAAGAAGTTCAGCCTTATTTTTCAGATGCCTTCGTTTTCAAAGATCTATAATAGTATTAAGTGGCAGCCTCTAGCTCTCTCTAATTTGAGGCCCTTGCTCTAGCTTCTCCTTTTTATACCCACTCTTAGCATTGCTTTGAGAACTAGTGGAAACTGTGCCAATCAGTTATAGCATCCAGAAGAGATCCCACTGCTGGGGCTAGCACCTGAGGAAGTAGCAGGTCTGTCCTGTGAGGTTCTAGAAAAGGAAACCAGCTGCTACTGTCTAATGCAGCACAACTTCAGAGAATCAAGCATAGTGATAAATAGTTGTGGACTTTTGAAGAAGTAGCATTTATATTTTCAGACCCCTGTGATTATTTTCTGGGTCCTGTCAGAAATTGTTCTAAGAGCAGAGCTAGTCATACTGGTATTGATTCTACTAGGGGGAAAAATATTGAATACACTATTTAATTTCCAGGGGTTGAAAATCTTAAACTTAATGGAAATAATGTATTTCACTGACTTCATTTGTTTGGTTTTAGGTACTGCAGATATATAAGGCTATTCTATACCTTAATTTTTGTTTTGTAAATGAATCATGAGGAATACAGATTCTGTATATCTACATACATTCTCAAGCACCATATGGAAACACTGTTCCTAGTTCTGTGGAATATTTCTAGCACTAGTGAACGGTAGTATATGTGCCAATTTAAAATTAACAGTTATTACAGATATCCCTTACATTTTAGGACAGCAGAGTTGACTTTGATATGTACTAAAAGAATTCTAATATATCTAATTCCATGCCTCAGTTTTCTCAACTTCAAAATTGGAAGAGTTACTTTCCACCTATTCTTTACCTGATGTTGATGAAGAATATTTTGTAAATTGCCATTTCTATGTTTTCCTTTTTAGGGAGTGCCTTGGTGAAGCACATGAGCCTTGTGACTGCCAAACATGGAAAAATTGGCTACAAAAGATAACTGAAATGAAACCAGAAGAACGTAAGCTGAATTTTTAGATAGCTATGCTACATATTTTCTGATCGCATACAAAAGATAATGTGGTCATAGTTCTTCATTTAAGAAGTTTTCAAGTTTGTTCATGCTAGGGTTCCCCTGTTAACATCACCCCTCTAATCAACATCCTTTTGGAGATGACAGAATTTGCAAGAGGAACTCATAGGCAGGTTCCATGTTTCTAGCTGACTTTTTTTCCAACCTAAGATAGGCAGGGTAAACAGGGGTCTCGTTAAGGGTCTTCCTACAGCCTTCCCTGTTATCCTGGGTTAGGCTAACTAACTCTGTACTTTATGGGGAGAAGTGTATGATCTGTAGTGAGAGGAAGCTTCCTATTTCCCTGGAAGCTTCCAGTGAAGAAGACAAGTAGATTTCTTGCTACTGTGTTTCTGTGGACTTATTAAATGCCATGTCAATAATGATTTTTATTGAGACTTCTATAAATACATTATCTCAGTTCTCACAGAAATTGGTGAGATTAATATTAGTAATCCCATTTTACAAATGAGGAAATTAACACATTTTATTGAGTGACACAGGGCACAGGCCTGGTAAATAGAATGGGTTTGAGTTCGCCTTCCTAATAGCAATTCTTGCATTTAACAAGTAAATATATATGTTTTATAACAACTTTTATCTTCTGAAGTGTTTTATGCAACTATTTTCTTTGAAATTAATATAAATGAAAATTAATTTAGAGGGGTTTTCTTTGCTTTTTAGATAATGGAGTTAGTTTGAGGAACTGCAAATTAGGACTAAGAATTTACTCAGTGAATTTACACTTATTAATAAGCAAAGTACATGTTAAAAATGATGTTGTCCTTCAAAGAGTGTATGAGTTCTATAAATAGATTAGTACCATTACCTACAACACCTTTAAACATGACAACACAATTAGATTTGCTTTCTTTTCTTGATTCTGACATCTATGTTTCTATTAGAGGTGGCTTGCTATTGTCCACATACCTACATTTTTTTATACATATCTAAGAAGCTTAAAGTTAAGGTCCATGGGAGAAGATTGCAAGAGATGAGGCTTGAAAGGTGGGTGTTTCCAGATTGTGAGGGTTCTTGCCAAATTGTCTGAATTTATCCTAATAACAGGATAAGCCATATAATACATTTTTTTAAATAGGGATGTGGCATTATCAGAAATACTTTTTTTTTTTTTAAATATATTTTATTGATTTTTTACAGAGAGGAAGGGAGAGAGCTAGAGAGTTAGAAACATCGATGAGAGAGAAACATCGATCAGCCGCCTCCTGCACATCTCCCACTGGGGATGTGCCCGCAACCCAGGTACATGCCCTTGACCGGAATCGAACCCGGGACCTTTCAGTCCGCAGGCCGACGCTCTATCCACTGAGCCAAACCGGTTTCGGCAATCAGAAATACTTTTATCAAGATAGACAACTAGGAAGGTAGACTAAAGGAGAGAGACCAGAAGTAGGGCAGTGAATTTTTACTTTGGATCAGATGGTGGATCATGATATCATTAGTTAACTTAGGAACTTGAAATAAAGGAGTTACATTCAGGGGAAAATAATGAGTTTAGCTGTGGACATTTTGAACTTGTACTTTCAGGACATATGTCAGAGATGTAGTAGAAGTTGCCTGCAGCTCAGAAAACTTAGGAGAAACTTGTTAACTTTTGAATGGTATCTTCATTGTTTATTTAACATTTTTTTTCTGCTATTTTGTTAGAATACAGAAATAAGATGCCCTCTATGCTCTTGAAATGTACATTTTATTTTTATTTTTGAAATGTACATTTTAGAGATGGAGACAGCTATATACAAAACTAAGGAAAAAAAGAGTATTATAAATGCTGTGAGAGAACAGTGTACCTGCAATACATTGTGAGGATGGGGAGGGGGATAAAAGGAGATTAGTTGTGTTATTTCCAAGGAGAGAATTAGAAAAAGTTTATAAAAGAATTGATGCATAAGCTGCATCTTGAAAGCAGGTAGTTGCCCTTCACAGAGACCAGAATTGGAAGGGCATTCCAGGCATAGGCTGAAGGAGGGATGCGAAGCAGCATGGCATAGTCCAGGACTACAGACAATTCAGTACAGCCAGTGCAAAGGAAGGCACATTGAGGGATCAAACTGCACAGGCAGAAATGTCAATCAGGTGTCTGGGTGGGTTATAAGCAATCCTGGAAGGTCTGGCTTTATCCCGAAACACTGAGAAAGTAGGTGTTGCCATATTGCTAGGGTTCTTGCCAAATTTATCCTAGTATCAGAAGCCATAGAAAGCATTTTTTTGAAGTAGGGAAGTGGCATTATCAGAGATATTTTTATCAAAATAGATGACAGGGAAGGGTAGACTGAAGGAGAGAAGAAGGGGTTTTGAATAGGAGACTGATAACTGAAGATGCTTACTTAGATCACTTGGGCAGAGGTGTGGATAATGGATTAGAGACTATTGAAACATTAGGTAAGAACGCTGTTTCTGAGACAACTTCAGAATGTCCAAGAGGATTCCAGGGCTTGAACAAGACAGAGGCAATGCCGGTGAGAGAGAGAAGTGTATGCAGGAGAGTTAAGATGTCATATTAAGTTGAAAAGTGAGGGAGGGTACTTACTCGTTGCCAAAAGAGTTAATATATCACAGGAAGTAATTAGTACAATATATTATTTGATTCTTTAATAGAAAGTAGCCAGAAGTGTCTGATTTGAGATGTAAAACAAATATTTTGAAATGGGTGATTATTTTCAGTTATCTTTTAAAATTCTAAAGTTGGATCAATTACTTCATATCCACTAACAAGCTTTACTAGGGAAGGAGAGGAAGAACGGCCAGGCCAGTAAGTCCAGATTATTGGTGGCACTGTGACCAAATACCTTTACATGTGAAAGTGATGCTGGTAATGAGGAAGGAAATGTAATAGAACTAGAAAATGATATACATGGTGTATACATGTTTACTTCTGGCGACCAGAGATAGGGAGACCTCAAATTAAAAACTGAAGATCACACTCAAAAAGTTCCAAATAGGGTTTTAATTCCGAGACATGGAGAAACTATAGAAAATTGGATAGTAGACAAGAGAGTGAGGATACCTATGAAGTGTCTACCAGAAGAGACAAAGCCAAGGCTGCAGAGAATGTTCCCAGCTGCTGGGGAAAACCCAAGAGTTTTCTCACTTTTCTCCCACCGAAAGGTGTTGACTAGTCGGTTATTATAATGGCCACTTAAATTTATGAAATTGAGCCCTGACCGATGTGGCTCAGTGTTCAAAACATCGGCCCAAGCACCAAAGGATTGTGGGTTCGATTCCTGGTCAAGGGCACATACTTGGGTTACAGGTTCAAACCCTGGCCCCAGTCAGGGCACTTGCGGGAGGCAACCAATCAATGTGTCTCTCTCACACCAGTTTTTCTTTCTCTCTCTCTCTCTCTCTCTCTCTCTCTCTCTCTCTCTTTCTCTCTCCCCCCCTCCCTCCATCCCTCCCTCCCCCACCTTTTTCTCTCCCTCTTTTTCTCCTCCCCTCTCCTCTCTCTAGAAAAAAATTAATAAATGGAAAAAATATCTTTAGGTGAGGATTAACAACAAAAAAAATTAGGTTGAAGCTTAAAGCAAACAGTAATAGGCCAAGTATAATACTTAAGTAGAACATCATCATTATATTTAAAAAAAGAAAAGTATGATTAAATACACCATGGACTTTATATATTACTTTGGCTTATGATCTCATATCTGGCATAAACATTTTCCATCAAACTTGTAGATTCATGGGAAAGATTCTCCCTTATGCCCAGTGTTCCAAAGTCATTGACTTATGAGACTCAAAAGGAGCAACAAAATTTAATTCATGAAAAAAAGTATTAGAAAATAAACAGATCAGTTTAAAGAATTCCACATAAAGGTTCAGGTACTATTTTTAAGTTCTGAAACTGCCTCTAGTACAGCGGTTCTCAACCTGTGGGTCTCGACCCCTTTGGGGGTCGAACGACTCTTTCACAGGGGTCGCCTAAGACCATCGGAAAACACATATATAATTACATATTGTTTTTGTGATTAATCACTATGCTTTAATTATGTTCAATTTGTAACAATGAAATTGGGGGTCACCACAACATGAGGAACTGTAGTAAAGGGTCGCGGCATTAGGAAGGTTGAGAGCCACTGCTCTAGTATGTCTAAATCAAAGCAAGAAGCAGGAATATTTTCTGAGAAATAATGGTTATTTATAAAATTGTCAGATCAGCCCTGGCTGGTGTGGTTCATGGTTAGAGCATCAGCTGGCATACCAAAGGTTCCCAGGTTCGATTCCCAGTCAAGGGCACATACCTGGGTTGTGGATTCAATTCCGGCTCTAGTTAGGGTACATTCAGTAGGCAACCAATTAATGTTTCTCTCTCTCTCCCTCTTTCTCTCTCTCTACCCCCTCTCCCTCCTTCCCTCCCTCTTTCTAAAATTCAATGGAAAAAATATCCTCAGGTGAAGATTAACAAATATAAGTAAATAAATAAATACGATTGTCAAATCAGTTTTTTCATAGTACATAATAAATGGTTACTGAATGGAATTCAAATAGTCTTTTTAAGAATTCAGTCTTTAAAAAGAACTTTGTTTTCACTTTCATACATATTGACCCTACTAATAGGTCTTAGATTCTGTTATTCTCAAATATTTTATTAAATGAAGTTAATATTTCTTAGAAAGAGACCTAAGCACACGAGATTATAAAGGAAAGAAGATCAAGATATATAGACATATAACTGAAGTAAAGGGAAGAGTATGGAAGTCAGTACGAGCGAAGACGACTCATCAGGTAGATTGAAGGGAGGTAAGGTATTGCAGGTATGAAGGACAGTATGTATAAAGGGCAGATGTATGAAATAAGCATGTTCAGAGAACTGGAAGTGAAGGCATTTTTTTTTTTCAGCACAAGTTTTTGTTGTAATAGTGGTCATTTTCTGAACATGACTTACTTCATGCAATCTACTAAAATGCAGTTAGGAACTAGCATTCTCTCCAAGGGTGGGAGAAAAAACACTGTTATATTGCAGGCCACACAGCTACTTTGTTTTAATGGCTTTGTGCTTTATTTATTGTAACAATGGACAATAAGGTCATAAGAACATGTGAGAATCTCTGAGCTAAAAATAGTGTTGATGCTGAAGGGAGGAGAAAGGCCACTACATGTAAACAAAAATTAGATATTTGTACTTAGTAATTAGTTTTATAACTATACCCTTTGTAAACAGCATTCCCTCTCCAGTTTGATCTTATTGGCCATGAGTATAGTTCGTTCCAACACCCTAATCAAACCATCATCTACCAACGGGTTTTGAACTGGAGTGGAGTGTGATCAGTTCATTGCTGCTGTTGCTGTTGTTTGTTTTTTGCTGTGTGGAATTGAAAACCAGTGCTTTATAGTCCAGCAGTAGATGCTGTGCTATTGTTGGCACAAACAAGGGTTTCTTGTGGCAAGCTGGCCCCCTCCTCCACTGCTGGGCTCCATCAGAGTGCTGCTCCTCGTCCCAGCTCTTCCAGTTCATATGCAGAGCCATTTCCGGGGGAGGCCTCAGTCAGCTCAAACCTTTGCCTCCTTCCCTTTCCAGGGATTTACATCTGGAGGTTGGGTAACTTTTCCTTTTAAACATCAGTATTCAAAACATCTGATTTCTCCGCTGCTTTTAACATTAGAACTAATCCCTTACCCCACCTTTCTGAGAGTGTCTGCATATAATCAGAGCCTTGATTGGACGGGCCACTTTGAGTGATTCCAAAGTGATTTTCTGACACCTCTTTCAGTAAGAAAACATAGGGCTTCTCTGAGCTCATAGAGCTAGAAAACAGAACAAACTTGATTATTGACATTTCTTGCAGGAAAAAATAAGTTTTTAATTGTGCATCTAGAACTGCCTCTAGCCCCTAACTCTCCACTATGGGGGGAAAGTTTATAGAATGTAAAATGTCAAATTTAGAATATTTTAAAAGCATGGCATTCCTTTAAGATTGCAGGTTTGTTTTTTTCAAATTTATCTTTAATGTTGAAAATACTACAGATGTCCCCTTTCTTTCTCCATTGGCCCTCTCCACCCTGCCCTGGCCTCCAGATCTCAAATTTAGTAGAATAAATTGAGTTTAAGATGATGAAGAACATAGATTTGTGTGGGGACAGAATGTGAGAGAAGTTTGCCAGGTAGACAGTGGCTAAATCATAAAGGGTTTTATATTCTTTGTTAAAGCAATTTGCTTTTATTTTGTAGTCCGTAGTAATAAGAGATTACTGTGTAGGCTGTATTGTCGGGGGTGGGAGCAGGGAGAAGGAGCTGGGGAGATAAGTTGGTTGTCTGTTTTCATTGTCTAGGCAGGAAGTGTGGAGGACCCTCGCTAAAGCAATAAAATTGGAAATGGAGAGGAACGGGTATGAAAAAGAGGTAGAATCAATGGGACATGGTGGGTTAAGGAAAGAGAAGGGTGTGTCCAAGATCATGCTCTTCCTGGATTGACTTGAGTAGATGATCTTATCTTTACCAGGGTAGGAGATAGAGAAAGAAGCGATTTGGGGGTCAATGGTAAGTTTAATTTTAGACATGTCACATTGGGTTTGTTGTTAGCTCAGCTAAAATAATCATGGGTAAAGTGATGTTAATATTTCAATATAATTTTCATGTTTTTTACTGTGAGGAAGACTTTATGGCAATTATATTGACAACTGGCCTATTTCAGAAATTATTGTCTAAAGTAACCATTCTTTCTGTATTTTCTCTGATGCAATAATTATTTTAAACAGAGAATAACATAATGCTTTATTTTAACTTTAGATATATTTCTTCCCCAGTTTATTCAAACACAGCTTTAGGGAGAAATCTCTTTTAAATCAGATTTCCTAAATAGAGCTTTTGGAACACAGCTCCTTATCCTATAGTCATGCTATTTAAAATGAGGCGGTTTAAAAGTTTTGCCATAGAGCCTAGTGGGAAAATAAATCTGTGTTTAAAATTGAGAGGCAACCTGCAAAGAACACTTGGGGGTTTTCCCTTGCAGTTGTATATTAAATCATTTATCTTTGTGTTTGTGCTTAATATCCTAAAGTTGTGGGAGTTAGTGAAGCTTATGAGGATGCTGCCAACTGTCTCTGGTTGTTAACTAACTCCAAGCCTTGTGCTAACTGTAAATCTCCAATACAGAAGAATGAGGGATGCAATCACATGCAGTGTGCTAAGGTAAGAAGTTAAAGAGGATTGTGAATGTTTTGCAATTGATTGGCAATTTGATTGGTTATTGTAAACATAAAAATCTTTTTAGATTTCAGATGGATCCTAGGAGATTGCATTCTACATTCTTTTTGAGTAACTTAAGTATTGATTTATATTACTAAATTTGACGCTCATGGTGAATGTTAAAAATAAGAGTAAGGATCCAGTGGTATTTGGCCAGAAGATCCAAAACACCTGAGTCCTTCCCTGCCAATCACCTTCCCAGTGAGGGTCCTGAGAGAGTTTTGTCTATGTATAAATAGTAGTATTAAATGATAGTATACTACTGTGTATAGATCTCTTGCAAGGTTGGTTTTGGAGCACATAGCTTAGACTCAGGTCCCAAGCCAGGCCCTAGGAATCCCCATAAGTCTAAATCTAAATCTTGGTGTCTTTATATAAGATATGTGTACAATAAAGGTACCCAAAGCATTGGGCAGACTTTAGGTCTGCGAATGAAACTGTTAATTAAATAAGTAATTCATTCTTAAATTGAAAATGAAAATGCCAACAAAGACCTACTTGACTGAAAAATGATTAATATGTATAATTACTATTAGACAGCTACCCTCCTGACTTAGTTGCATAGAAAGAAACTACCACATTTAAAACAAATACTCTGGAATTAGGTTAACAATATTTTATCCCATGCCTAAATGTATGAACATTTTTAAAAATCATAATGATAGTCCAATTTTTTTCTTGTCATTGGAAGTTCCATGAATATAAAAATATTTTAAATTATTGATAGGACAGTGTAATTTCTATTATTTAGGACTAGAGGCCCAGTGCACGAAATTTGTGCATGGGTAGGGTCCCTAGCGGCTGCCAGGGTCTTCCTTCATTCCCCGCCACCCCTTGGTGGTCAGCACACGTCATAGCGAGCGATCAAACTCCCGGTCGGTTGAACTCCTGAGGGGACACTTTGCATATTAGGCATATATATATATATATATATATATATATATATACACACACACACACACACACACTAGAGGCCCGGTGCACGAAATTCGTGCATGGGTAGGGTCCCTAGGTCTGGCCAGTGATCAGGGCCTTCCTTCCCCAGCTGCTGGCCGGGGCCTTCCTTCATTCCGCGCTGCCCCCTGGTGGTCAGTGCACATCAGGAGGCAATCAAACTCCCAGTTGAACTCCCAAGGGAACACTTTGCATATTAGCCTTTTATATAGATAGATAGATGTGACAGAAATACAAATAGTTAAGATTCCAATAAAATATATTAATATCTTCTAAGTATTATTTTATTTTCAACCTTAGAAACTAATGATCATTATTATTATGACTTTTAAAATAATGGTAGTTACTCAATGATTTTTACAAGCTTATCTATATATATATAAAAGCCTAGCCCTAGCCGGTTTGGCTCAGTGAATAGAGCGTCGGCCTGCGAACTGAAGGGTCCCGGGTTCAATTCCGGTCAAGGGCATGTACCTTGGTTGCGGGCACATCCCCAGTAGGGGGTGTGCATGAGGCAGCTGATCAATGTTTCTCTCTCATCGATGTTTCTAACTCTCTATCCATCTCCCTTCCTCTCTGCAAAAAATCAATAAAATATTTTTTAAAAAAAAGCCTAAGTGACTGTCCAACCAGTAGCTATGACGCACAATGACCACCAGTGGGCAGACGCTTCAACTGGTAGCTATGACACGCACTGAACACCAGGGGGCAGATACTCAATGCAGGAGTTGCCAAGCTGTGGTGACTTGGCAGCTGTGGTTCTTGGGTAATGCACCCGGAACCAGAGAGGAGGGGGCCTGGTTCCGGGGCACGTCACCTGTGAACCTTCCTCTCACAATCCGGGACCCCTCGGGGGATGTCAGAGAGCTGGTTTCTGCTTTATCCCCGCAGGCCAGGCCAAGGGATCCCACTGGTGCACGAATCCGTGCACCAGGCCTCTAGTGTTACTATAAAATTAACAGAAAGGAATTGACTTAGTGAAACAGTATTAATAATTTCCTAAGAGGCAAGAAGAAAAGCCTAGTACAGCATTCTGAGCAGAGTGCTTATTAGTTAGCTGATTAGGCCAAAATTATTTCTTTTGTTTTGTGGTCTTAGTCTCCAAAATTCATAGTAGTTTTTTCTTGGAAAATGTGATATAGACAGCGTAGATGTGTAAAGAAATACAGGTTGACCATAAAAATCAGCAGTTGGGTTACTAACAAAGGAGCAGGATCCAACATTACCTTTATTTCTTTAACACAGTGGTTCTCAACCTTCCTAATGCTGCGACCCTTTAATACAGTTCCTCATGTTGTGGTGACCCCCAGCCGTAAAATTATTTTTGTTGCTACTTCATAACTGTAATTTTGCTACTGTTATGAATCGTAATGTAAATATCTGATATGCAGGATGTATTTTCATTGTTACAAATTGAACACAATTAAAGCATAGTGATTAATCACAAAAACAGTATGTAATTATATATGTGTTTTCTGATGGTCTTAGGTGACCCCTATGAAAGGGTCGTTCGACCCCCAAAGGAGTCGCGACCCACAGGTTGAGAACTGCTGCTTTAACAGCATCTACCAGTAGTATTTGATTAATATGTATTTAGTGAGTGAACATTTTCATGAATTAACCAAACTAAGGCTATCAGGTAGTTTATCTTAAACAGATTTTGCTTAAGCTTCTTTAAGCATTTATAAGAAGCATTTACTTATATACTATGTAAATTTAGTAGTCTTGTTTAATATACATCTAAAGTATTTGCATTGAACAAAAACAAAAAAAAAAAACACCTGATAAGTAATGCTTTTTTGTGTTTTTTTATTTTATGGTGTTTTTAAATATCAGTATAGTTGGCATACAATGTTGTATTAGTTTCAGATGTACAACATAGTGATTCAACGTTTATATACCTTACAATGTGATTACACTAAGTCTAGTAATCATCTGTCACTTTGCAAGCTTATCACAATATTATTTACTATGTTCCCCTTGACAAGTACTTCTTAGGACATAGAAGAAGACATCTAAAAAGTAATGGGCTTGCTACAGAAAAATTTTATACTTTGGGAATTTTTTTTATTTTTATTTATTTTTTTTTATTAAATTTTTATTGTTCAGATTACATTTGTTCCTCTTCCCCCCCCCCATAACTCCCCTCCTTCCAGTTCCCGCCCCACCCTCCGCCCTCACTCCCCACCCACTGTCCTCATCCATAGGTGCACGATTTTTGTCCAGTCTCTTCCCGAATCTCCCATTCCCCTTTCTCCCCCAAGAATAGTCAGTCCATTCCCTTTCTATGTCCCTGGTTCATTATAATCACCAGTTCATTCTGTACATCAGATTATTTATTCACTTGATTCTTAGATTCACTTGTTGATAGATGCATGTTTGTTGTTCACAATTTGTATCTTTACCTTTTTCTTCTTCCTCTTCTTAAAGGATACCTTTCAGTATTTCGTATAATACTGGTTTAGTGGTGATGAACTCATTTAGCTTTTCCTTATCTGTGAAGCTCTTTATCTGACCTTCAATTCTGAATGATAGCTTTGCTGGATAAAGTACTCTTGGTTGTAGGTTCTTGGTATTCATCACTTTGAATATTTCTTGCCATTCCCTTCTGGCCTGCAAAGTTTCTGTTGAGAAATCAGCTGACAGTCGTATGGGTATTCCCTTGTAGGTAATTGAGTCTCTTTCTCTTGCTGCTTTTAAGATTCTCTCTTTGTCTTTTGCTCTTGGCATTTTAATGATGATGTGTCTTGGTGTGGTCCTCTTTGGATTCCTTTTGTTTGGGGTTCTCTGCGCTTCTTGGACCTGTAAGTCCATTTCTTTCACCAGGTGGGGGAAGTTTTCTGCCATTATTTCTTCAAATAGGTTTTCAATATCTTGCTGTCTCTCATCTTCTGGCACCCCTATAATTCTGATATTAGTCCGCTTGAAGCTGTCCCAGAGGCTCCTTACACTATCTTCACACTTTCGGATTCTTTTTTCATTTTGCTTTTCCAGTTGGGTGTTTTTTGCTTCTTCGAATTTCAAATCTTTGGTTTGATTCTTGTGCTCCTCTGGTCTGCTATTGGGTATAATATTCTTTATTTCCGTCCGTGTATGCTTACTTTCTAATTTCTTTATCGTAGCATCGAGGGTCTCATTAGTTTTCGTGAGGCTCTGCTCAAGTTTATTGCAAGCCCTCAAAATTGCGATTCTTAGCTCCATATCCTCCATTTCTGTCATGTTTTTTTGTCTCCGCATCTTTTATGCTTTCTTGGTGCACCCCCTTGTGGTCTTTGTGAGCAGTCTTGTTCTAGTTAAGCCTTAATTGTTGTAGTTAATACTAGAGGGATTTGACCACCAGGCTGACTGGCTGTGAGAATCAGCTGTATGGAAAACTTCTGTCCTCTGGAGAGGTGCTACTTTAGCCTTTGCCTGAGGCGATCGGCAAATGGCTCTGCGCAGGGCTTGGGCGGGGCGGGATCAACAGGGCGGGGGGGGGGGGGAGCAGTTATGGCCGCTCTCAGTCCGTCCCCAGAGGCTCTGCCTCTCTGTCCCAGCAACCGCTGCAAACCTCGGAGGGACCGTAGCCAGACAGTCCCGCTTCTCCCGTTTGAGTCTGGGTCCCTAGAGACTCGCCCGGATCTGTAGCCCCGAGTCTGAGACTCCCTCCTGATTGAAAACGACAACCGCGCCCTCAGCCACCAGCCCGCTTTGTGCGCGCACCACCGTACCTTTAAATTTTCCACACTGCGCCTCCTCTGGGCCTCGTAATGCTGTTGTTTTTCCTTCTAGTTGAAGAGTCTCTCCTCAGACAGCCTTCCTGGGGTTCTGGGTGATGTCCGTTCCGTCTTTTAGTTGTATTTTTGAAGTGGTTGTTTGCGGCAGCAGTCTCCGGTGTTTACCTATGCCGCCATCTTCGATTCTTCTTGGGAATTTTTTTTAAATGTAAAAGTGAGACAACAAACAATTTATGTGTAATCAAATTCATGCTCTAACACAGTGACTAAATCATAATATACTTTTATTAGTGCCCCAGTGTTAGTAATGATTCAGTAGAGCTTTTACTTTCTGGAATCAAATTGTTAAATATTTTTTTAAATGAGAAATTTGGCCCTATAAAAATAAATTTATTAATTTTTAAAACACTCATTACTCTATTCATTACCCTTTTGAGACTATTTAGATTTTGCATTTACACATTTTAATACATATTTTTTAATTTATCGGGGTTATATTGATTAATTAAATAGGTTTCATGTATACAGTTCCATAATACATCATCTATGTATTGTATTGTGTGTTCACCCTGCATAGTCTGTCTCCTTTCATCACCGTTTATCCCCCCGTACCCTCTTCTACTTGCCCCTACTCCCTTCCTCTGGTAATTACCATACGGATGTCTATGTCTATGAGGGTTGTTTTTGGTGTGGATTTTTTTTCTTAATCCCTTCACCTATTTCACACATCCAGATACTAGTAGAATAAATATTGAAAAAGAAGATCTCGTTAATCTAGAAACTTAAGTAATATATACAAAGTGTACGACATGAAGAAAAAAATATTTTTTTTAAATGAAGAAATTTTTAAGAACCCTATCTGTAAGACACAAAAGATGACAAACAAATGAAAAGATACAGTTCTTGGATAGAAAGATTCCAACAAAAATACCAACAGGTTTTTGTTCTGCATCTAGATAAGCAAAAGTTCATATGGAAAAACAAAGCAAGAATAGCTGGGAAAACTCTGAAAAAGAACAATGAGGAGGAACTAGCCTTATCAAATAGTAAGAGATATTATAAAAGCTCAATAATTAAAATAGCACAGTGCTGGCACATGAATCTACATATCAGTGGAACAGAATAGAAAGCCCAGAAAATAGACACAGATAAATGGGAATTTAGCATATGGTAAAGTAGACATCTCCAAACAGTGGATTAACCTGAACTGTTCAAAATGGTAGTGAGATAACTGGAAAAAATGAAGTTGAATTCATATTGTATCCCCAGATAACATATAAACAGCTCAAAGACTTACATTTAAAAAAAAAAAAGACTATTAAAGTATCAAAAAAGAACATAGCCTTGGAATGGGAAAATCTTTCTGACTCAAAACCCATAAGCATACAAAAGGGAGGGGATGCATTTTCATACTGGAATGCTCAGTTTTTTGGCATTGTCTAGTAAGTATGGTAATTGGGAAACTGAAAATTTCTAAAAAATGAGAAACAGGTTTTATATCAGCTGTTCTACTAAGAGACCTTTTAAACTTGTTCTCAGTTTCAAAACCAATTTGTCAGTTACCAGATGTTTTTAAATAGACTGGTAAAGCTTTATAGACCTAAGTAAGATTACCATGAACTTAGAAATGAAACATTTGTTGGTATATGTTTTTATTATTTGTAAAAAATATCCTATTGATTTTTTTCTTAATGATATTTTTAAAGATTCCTTGAGATTATCCGTAATATCATGACTTCCATTGAGCTTATTTGTATAAGCAGTAATCTTAAACTAACCCCACATCTTTCCAGAGTGCAGATAAGGTCTCCAGAGGAAATGTGAAAAAGAGGGTGTGTCTTTAAGATTTATTTCTGGTCACACAGGCAGGATTGTTTAATCTCTACAAATTGGTAGATTAGAAATTGAAAATAACATGCATATCAACATGGAGAGATGTTTGCATGTATGTTTTCTTTTGAAGTGCAAGTATGACTTTTGCTGGATTTGCCTAGAAGAATGGAAAAAGCATAGTTCTTCCACAGGCGGTTATTATAGATGTACTCGCTATGAAGTCATTCAACATGTGGAGGAGCAATCCAAGGAAATGACTGTGGAGGTAAAGACAACTCTTTAAGCCAACACTTCTGGCTAAGCCACTTAATACCATTGCAAGTACTTTGCATTTCTCCTTTTCCCATCTTCATCGTAATGAGGCATTAAATTGAATACACTTTAGAGTAGCCTTTAATTTAAACAAATGGCTCTGTAAACTTGAGCTTTTTTTCCCCCTTTTTTTATACTGAAGATAAGAAAAGTCATATGTGTCTCAGCCTTCCTCTGTAATGACTTAAAAACAATTTTTGTATTAAAGTATAGTTGACATACAATATTATATTAGTTTCAGGTATACAACATAGTGATTTGATAGTTACTAGTATATGCCATATGATGTGATCACCACAGTAAGTCTAGTAACCATCTGTCACAGTACAGAGTTATTATATTATTGACTATATTTTCTGTATTGTACATTACATCCCTGTGACAAAAACAATTTTAATATAATATCAACAATAGAGTATTATGTTATAGCATATAATAAATATCTTAGTCTGCTTGGCTGCCAAAATAAAATATCATAGACTGGGTGGCTTAAACACAGAAATGTATTTCTCATAGTTCTGGAAACTAGAAAGTACAAGATCAAGATTCCTGCCAATTCAGTTTCTGGTGGTGACTCTTCCTGGCTTGCAGGCAACTCTGTTTTTGCTTTGTCCTCACATGGTGGAGAGAGAGAGTTCTGGTGTCTCTTCCTCTTATAAGGGCACTAGCTCTATGGGATTATAACCTAATAACTTTTATCACCTCACAGGCCCTTTCTCCAAATAGTCACATTGGGGGTTAGGGCTTCAACATGAATTTTGGGTGAGTGGGGGAGTACAATTCAATTCATAGCAATAAGATGTGTAATAAAACATTGAAGATTATGATAAGCATATGGCTTGAGAGACATCTTTGCCTTACACTCTGGGATTGTGGGTTCAGCGGTTTGTCACAGGGAACACTAATGCAAGACTTTGTTCTGGGAGCCTTTAAATGTATTGGTTATTATTTTCTCTCAGTAAAATAGTAAACAAATCTGTATAAATCACTACCTATTACTAATAGAATCGTGAAGTGATTTTTAAAAAAGCAATTTTAAGAGCTAGTACTTTTACTTATAAAAGTCACTTATGGAGTTTTGTTTCCTAGGCTGAGAAAAAACACAAACGGTTTCAGGAACTTGACAGATTTATGCACTATTACACGAGATTTAAAAACCATGAGCATAGCTATCAGGTATGTCCCAAATCATTTCAAATGCAGACTTACACTGTTGTGGATAAATAAAGACAATGATATAAATTATTCATTTCTGTTTCTTTAGTTAGAACAACGCCTTCTTAAAACAGCTAAAGAAAAGATGGAGCAATTGAGTAGAGCTCTCAAAGAAAGTAAGTTATAAGTGGCATGTGGGATGATAAATGTAAAATAGCCTTCGATGCTTATTAGTCAGTTGCTTCATTGGAAGTTAAGACCCTTAAGGGAATATATTTATCTCCATTAGCTCACTCTGGTACTATTTGGAGTATTCTGAAACCCAGAGTGCTGCTTAGCATTTGAGTCCTCTGTGATTAGGTTTTCCACCTGGCTTACCTCATCTCCTCATAATGCAGCCTACACTGTTAGCAGATGAACACACATCATGGTTTTGCTTACTCTGTGCCACTGCTGATGCTCTAAAATGTTGAGAAAAGTGGATGGGCCCTAAAAGTCATCGCTGATCTAGTCAAAAGAGCAAGATCTGCATGCCATCCAATTATCTGTGACTGAATTCCCAACGAGTCTTGAGAAAATTTAGCCGAGTGCCTAGTGGAGTGGAAATCAAGGACAGACTGGGGAGAAATTATCTCGCTGGTGGATAATAGACACTGGATTCAAAAAGCAAAGACATGAGATAGGGCAAACTTGCAGATCCTGACATGGAAGTTTGGAAAGAACATTTCTAAAAATGGAATTAGACTGTAATATCTCACATTAGAATATAAAACCCTTTTAAGAGGATAATTCCCTAATTAAGACAGTAACCATATGTGTCACTAGCAGCTTAGTCTCCTTATTAATTATTAGTACTTAGACTTTTACAGTGACCTAACTATATCACATCAATATCAAACTCTTGAAGTATAGTCCATGGTACAAATTGAAAAGCAAAACCCTCACAGGTTCTACAGTTCTTCAGCAGGGAATTTTGTCTGTCTCATCACTGATGTATTCTTAATGCTTAGAACAGTGCTTAACATACACTAAACACTCAGTAAATACCTGTGGATGTGTATTACTCTTTCTGTTCAATCTTTTGCAGGCTAAAGTAAGATATGAAAGAGAATAGCAGAATAAGATATGAAAGAAAACTAAAAGATATAGGATTAGAAAGGAGAAACAAAACTTCACACACTTCTCACTTACAATGTTTGTTTTATTTTTATTTTTTTACATCTTAGTTCAGATCCCTATGCCAGGGCAGGTATTTTGGGATAGTCTGTATTTCAGTGTGTGTACATACCCATGCGATTTCTTTCTGCAGATGAACAGAATGATCTTATATCCAAAAGTACTTATGAAATAAATTCTGCTTAATTTCGATTTATTTGTAGTTCAGGAAAAAGCTAGCGTGGTATAATAATTTGGGATGGAACAGTCTCCCAGAATATTATATCACGCTAGATTTTCTTTTTCCCTCTTCCCACTCTCTCTCCTTTCTCTCTCTCCCTGGAGTTTTCTGTTTACTAGCAATTAGTTATTCAGTTGTTCTCGTGTTGTGTCTTTTTCTCCTTTCATAATAGGCATGACTATAACTTGGCTTTTATTTTTTCTTAGCAAAACATTTATTCTCTTATTCAGCAAAGTTCCACCAGGGATAACCTAAAAAACTTAGTAAAGCATGGCACCTCTGAGTTGACCTAAAGCTAGATTGGCTGCCAACAGGGTGAGAACAGAATCCAGGATCAGTTTGTGTGTGTTCTTTCATGACTGCCACGTGCTCCTGGGCTTGTGCGGGTGTTCCATTTATAAATGCATACAAATCACACACGAGAGTCCTATGTAGGCTTTTAGTCTGCTTCCAATAAATACTATTCAGCTACTTCAAGCTGTTTCTTCTTAGGGGTTCTTTTTTTTCTTTGGAAAATTTAATTGTGTAATTAATTTTATAATAGCATATTTACAAAAGACTTTTTTACCCTGCCTGGTTTACTTCATAGCTGAAGGAGGCTGTCCAGATACCACTTTCATTGAAGATGCAGTTCATGTGCTCTTAAAAACTCGGCGTATCCTCAAGTGTTCTTATCCCTATGGATTCTTCTTAGAACCTAAAAGCACAAAGAAAGAAATTTTTGAACTCATGCAAGTAAGATATCTTTTTTAAATTTAATTTAAATATAGTTATTATGAAAAGCAAATTTGTGACCACTTAACTAAGTTTTTTTGGTGTAACTAGTCATCAATTTTGTTTTCATTTTAGAGTGGTTTTCAAATAGTAATAAATTGAAATTTTTTTTATGTTTAAATTGTCATTCTGCAGTTCTGAGCTATGCAAACATTTCTTAGTACGTTTATTTCTTTGTTTTAAATTAGTTGAGGTGAAATCTGGCCTAATCTTAATTACATAATTAGGAATTTTATTTTCAAAAATGGTGGGCGGGGGGAGCATATTACATATTAAATGGGAAAGTTGTTATTTACTAATTTATTTTAGGAGTTCAACTAAAAGTTACAGAGCTTTAAAAAACAAAACACCTAAGTCAGCTAATATCTCAGTGACTGACCAGCTTCATTGTACATTCCTCTTCTAGACCTAAACCCACATCACAGGGCTCTTGCCTTCAGCATTTACGGATAGTCTGCACCACATATCATGCATCTGCATATATAGTGACTTGACTTGAAATTTATTAGTTTTTTTCACATAGACACATTATAAATTCCTTGTACACACCTGGTGTACTCACTCCTTCATGATCTATACCAACTACCTTGCTTAAACGCCTATCACATGAGTGCTGTTTCCTATAATGTGCAAAATGGAAATATATGTTAAATGCAGTTACTTCAAAGATTGGATTAATTTCTGACTTCAAAAGACTTAGAGTTAACTGAGAAACCAGATAGACTTTGGATTTGCTATTGACTAATCCACTCAGTCTATAATTTTTTTTCTCTTCTTACCATAGACAGACCTAGAAATGGTCACTGAAGACCTTGCCCAAAAAGTCAATAGGCCTTACCTTCGCACACCCCGCCACAAGATCATCAAGGCGGCATGCCTTGTACAGCAGAAGAGGCAGGAATTCCTGGCTTCCGTGGCTCGGGGAGTTGCTCCTGCAGACTCACCTGAAGCTCCCAGGCGCAGGTAAAAGGGATGCACACTGTGGAATCACCCTAGCTCCAGCCACAAACCAGCAAGTTGATTTTTTTTAATCCTACTAGAGTTTATATACCGAAAATATGTAGAGCTGGTTAAAATATGGTAGCTTCTTTTTGGTGATTTTCCCCCAAGTACTATTTCTATTTTCCTCATTTTTTGTTTGTCATTGTGTAGTTTCTCACCAAGTTAGACTTGGTGAATTTCACACTTCATTGAACTCATAATTCAGAGTAGTCTAATGTGTCATTTCAGATATGTAATGTGTATAGTGATATGATAGCCATAAACATGTTGTAGAATTTGGAAGCCTTGCCAATTTGTCATGGACCTATTTGTATTTTGTGGTGAGGTTGTGAAAAAATTAGAAATCTGATATTAGTAAAGTTACTTAAGTGATATTTATCCTTTAAAGAATAGTTGAATTTTGGTTGTTTTACATACTTATACTACTAATGCCATTATAAGTTGAAGTATTTTTTATTCATAATAATTGCAAGCATTAGAAATTCCTTTGACCCTGTTTTTACATAAACATTTATAACCTAAAAACAGAAAGCAGTCATAAAATACTTTGTTATTTTTCCACCATTTATCACAAACATAAAGTAACTTAGACTTTAAAAGAAATAATATAGTTGTAATAATTTTAATTATATTTAAAATTATTTATATTTAATTATATTCTATAGTTGATCTGCTTTGGTTAAATAAGTTCCAAGCAGAGGAATTAAAATTAATGTTCAAAAGGCAAGGGTCTGATTGTTTGTACTTTGCAGTACTGGTAATAAATCAAATGGTATGTCTAATTTCTTTGTAGCTTTGCTGGTGGAACATGGGATTGGGAATATTTAGGATTTGCATCACCTGAGGTAATTGTTTTGTGGGGGTTTGGCTTGTTTTGTTATATTTTTCCTTAGTATAATCCTGCTTGTATTTGCACCCTTTTCTATTCTAAATCCTGAAATTGTAAGCAATGTTTTTCTTGTATAATAAAAATGCCTCAGCAGAGCCTACATCTTAGTTATTTATGGTATTGGGTTATGATCACATTATTAAATGCATCTCCCCTTTGTCATTTTTAATTACTGAATAGTCAGAATTAAGGCCAATTTATAGCATGTATTTTTGGAAAATATTGATTAATAGAAATACAAATTTCACTTATTAGAAATGCATTTCTAGTTGTAATAATTGTTTCAGTCTGAATCTAGTTTTTTAAGTTATTGAGATAACTCAAGAGAATTGGTTTATAATCAGTTGCTAAGGTGGAAACTTAACATTAGTGATGTTTATGCAGTAAGAAATGCTTTGCTTAATTGCTTTCTGCTTCTCTTAAGATTTTCACACTCTTCTTGTTTTTTCTTTGTTGTCATATACCATTTCAAAATATAGAAGGTCTAAAATACTAACACTACAAATAGTAATTGCCGCAAATAAAAAATAAGGCAGAGTGAAAATCTTAATCATATTGCTATTTTCTGAGATTTAAATTGCCACCGTCAGTGTTGAGTCTGAATTTTTATATGGTTTTAACAGTTCTCTACACTTTGTCTTCTTCCTTGCTCTTTTATACCATCCAGTGCTTGGAAGGGGGCAGGACAAGCAATGAATCTTTTATCCTTTGTAACCCATTTGTTATCTGCAACTGAAAGACAGTGAAATTGGTTATTATTCAGAAATGACTGTGGCTTATTTAAATCAGATACTTTCTCTTTTCAGCTGCTGAGGATACTTGCAATCACCTTGAGGCTTTTGTATTGGTAGATATATCCAAGAAAATATTGACTTGAGAAAACAATTTATGCTTAGAGCTCTGATATGAGGGTTTTAGGTCTACTTAAATTCCCGTCCTCCATGGTAATATCTTAATTAAATGGCTGTTGTAAAACAGATTATGAACCTTTTCTCTACCTGATCTGTGCTTATTATTTCTTTGTTTTAATTACAGCTTTAGGGATATTGGGGGAAATGTCCACGTAAAAGGAAAAATAAACAAGCTCCAGTTATTAAAAAAAAGAGCACTGAAGCTTTTAGAATTTCAAGTTAGAAACACAATTTAGCAAAAATAAAACTTTACCAGTGTAGTCACCATCGTGCATGCATCATCTTGCAGCCTCTGGCTCACAGTAACATTAGGAATCTTGAAATACTCGTCCTTGACTAATTTGGACCTGCTAATATGACTGACACAGATTCACTTCGCAAAAAATAGGAAGGCTTGTCACCTAACATGTGAATACTTATAAGTTAAATTGTTGAGCTTTTGTTCTCCAGAGATTGAGAATTGTGAAAGTATCAATAACAATTCCTTCTTAAATTCATTTTTTATGAGTCAATAAAATTTAAAAAAATTATTTAACTCACTTTTACTGTTCTCTTATTTAAAGTTTTTGGCACATTGAAAGACCAAGCTTTTATGTAAACCTTATTGCAAGTCTAAAGAATTACCACACTATGTGAAACTTTAAAACTTTGCGTGTATGTAACTGTCAGGTAACTGCCAAAATTTTATCTTTATTTTTTTTTTCAAAATTTTATCTTTAAAAGTAAGCTTTTTGCCTTTATATAGACTCTGAAAAAAATATTGCCAAACTCCAGTAGACTTTTAGGTTGAATTTATATTTTTTCAGTAAAGTTAATTCCATCTTATTCTTTTGTTAATTAAACTGAATGAGTCAATGGCAAGAATAAGTATGTGTTTTGTGCTGCCTTAAAGGCAGTGGAGCTCAGGAAAGACCAAGTCCTGAAGTTTGAGGGTCACCTAAATGCAAGGTCTAGCTCTGTAACTTATTAGACCTTGGGCTGTGTTCTTCCTTAATTTGTTATCTTCGGAAATTTGTCATCTTCTAACTGTGGATGGTGATACCATGGGAGTTCTGGCAAAATTAGAGCATCTCTTTAAGTCACTGACAAAATTGGTGCTCAATAAATGCTAGAGATTATTATTTAAAACAAAAAAATCCCCTAGCAGCTTTTTTTCCTATAAATCTTAGAATCTCTTAATCTTTGTAGCATTAACACTCTCAAGCCATTTGGAGTATCCCAACTAAAGCCTTTTCATATGCTTACTTGAAGACCTTGGAAATTTTCAGATAAGTTTAATTTGATGACAACCATTTTTTAAAGCCTATTGCATTGAGAAAATGCCATGAGTTTTCCATCAGAAAAATTATATAACAGGAAAAACCAAGATGGCAGCATAGGTAAACACCTAAAATTGCTTCCTCGAACAACCACTTCAAAAATACAACTAAAAGACAAAATGGACATCATCCACAACCACAGGAAGGCTGGCTGAGTGGAAATTCTACAACTAGAAGAAAAGAGAAAAGCACACTGAGACTCAGGGGAGGTGCAGAAGTAAAGTGCAGAGGTACGGAGGCGCGCGGAAAGGGCTGGCAACTGAAGACGCGGTTGTCTTTTTCAATCAGGAGGCAATCACAATCTCCCGACTGCTCTGAACTCCAGACTCATACGGAGAGAAACTGGACTGTCTGGCATCGGGCAGAAATTGAGGACGGCTTTCTCTCAGAGGTGCTTGCAGCGATTACCGCGGGACACTGAGACCTGGGGCCACTTAGGGCAGTGCTGAAGATCAGCCATAGCTGTTTGCTCTGCCCTGTTGATTCCCTGAGACACCGAACCACCCAAGCTGTGCGCAGAGGCTTTTGCATTTGAATGACCTGGCCCTTTGCAATCTAAAATGACCTAACAAACTGCAGCTGGGTCAGAGAGACCCAGAACATCCAAAGGAAGGCCCACGGCCCCACAGTAGCTTGCATTGCTTCACAGCTGGGCCTCATCTGGGCACCTCCAAACCCCAAACAAAGAAGAGGAATCTGCAGATCTCTCCATAGCTCCTGCTGGGTAGCCTCAGGCAGAGGCTAAATTAGCACTTCCTTAGAGATCCAAGTGCCAGTGTACCCAGTGGTCAGAGTGGGACCATCCAGATTACAACTCCTCAGATCCATAAGGGACACACTCAGGGGGCAGACTCAGTGAGCACCAAAGCCCCACTGAAGCAAGTCTTGCCCCAGAAGGGTGTCTCCAGCACAGAAGTTCTCCCACTGTAGACACAGCTGATTCTCACAGCCAATTGGCCTGGAGGTCAATTCCTCCCAGTGATACCTACAACAATCAAGGCTTAACTACAACAAGACTGTGCACAAAGCCCACAAAGGGGTGCACCAAGAGTGTCCACCTCAGGTAATTGGGGAGGCTGAGCCACTGGGCCCTATAGGACACCTAGCACAGAAAGCCACTCTATCAACACAAGGAAGCATAAAAAATGTGGAGACAAAGAAACAGCTCACAAATGACAGAAATGAGGAAAGCAAACTACTGGATATAGAGTTCAAAACCACACTTCTAAGGTTTTTCAAGAATTTTCTAGAAACCGCTGATAAATTTAGTGAGACCCTCCATAAATCTAGTGAGACCCTTGAGGATATGAAAAAGGACCAACTAGAAATTAAGCATACACTGACTGAAATAAAGAAGATTATACAGAGATCCAACAGCAGACTAGAGGATCCCAAGAATCAAGTCAAAGATTTGAAATATGAAGAAGCAAAAAATGCCCAACCGGAAAAACAAAAAGAAAAAAAGAATCCAAAAATATGAAGATAGTGTAAGGAGCCTCTGGGACAACTTCAAGCATACCAACATCCGAATTATAGGGGTGCCAGAAGAAGAGAGAGAGCAAGATATTGAAAACCTATTTGAAGAAATAATTACAGAAAACTTCCCCTACCTGGTGAAAGAAATAGACTTACAACTCCAGGATGCTCAGAGAACCCCAAACAAAAGGAATCCAAAGAGGACCACAGCAAGACACATCATAATTAAAATGCCAAGAGCAAAAGACAAAGAGAATCTTAAAAGCAGCAAGAGAAAAACAGTTAGTTACCTACAAGGGAGTACCCATACAACTGTCAGCTGATTTCTCAATAGAAACTATGCAGGCCAGAAGGGAGTGGCAAGAAATATTCAAAGTGATGAATACCAAGAACCTACAACCAAGATTACTTTACCCAGCAAAGCTATCATTCAGAATTGAAGTCCAGATAAAGAGTTTCACAGATAAGAAAAAGCTAAAGGAGTTCACCACCACCAAACCAGTATTATATGAAATGCTGAAAGGTATCCTTTAAGAAGAGGAAGAAGAAGAAAAAGGTAAAGATAAAAATTATGAACAACAAATACATATCTATCAATAAGTGAATCTAAAAATCAAGTGAATAAAAAATCTGGTGAACAGAATAAACTGGTGAATATCATAGAATCCGGGGCATAGAAAGGGAGTGGACTGACAATTCTCAGGGGGGAAGGGGTGTGGGGGTGCCGGAAGAGACTGGACAAAAATCATACACCTATGGATGAGGACTGGGGGGGGGGGGTAAGAGCAGAGGGTGGGGTGGGAACCAGGTGGAGGGGAGCTATGGGGGGAATAAAGAGGAACAACTGTAATAATCTGAACAATAAAGATTTAATTAAAAAAAAGAAAGAAAAATTATATAACAAATTTCTTTTACAGTTTTAAACTTTCATTTTCTTTAATTGGAAATACGTATATTCTGTGGTCAATAATAGATTATTTAATTCAGAATAATTTTGTGCCATTATCAAGTATACAAAGTAAACAAATTCTCCCTAAGTATAAGTCTTGAACTGAGATAAGAGTTTCATGTCATCTTTGTCTAAGAAATGTGATGGGCCTCAGTGGCCCAGTGAACCATATTGACACATAACAGGCATCCTAGGCCTCCAGGCAAAGAGGACATGATATCCCAGCTCAGTAGGACATTTTAGAGAACCTTAATAATCCCTCCAGGCACTTGTATCTTTTATGCTTTTGTTCCTAACCTAGCAAGATTGCTACCACCTCTTATTAGATTATACAGATGAAGGACTTCAAATAAATTTAACCAGAGTGGTATGATGTGAAAGTTTCATTTGTAATATAAAACCTGTTCAGTTCTGTGGAGGGGGGGAACCAAGATGGCGGCATAGGTTAATGCCGGAGTTTGCTGCCTCGAACAACCACCTCAAAAATACAACTAAAAGACGGAACGGACATCATCCAGAACCACAGGAAGGCTGGCTGAGTGGAAGTTCTACAACTAGGAGGAAAGAGGAAACCATACGAGACTCAGAGGAGGCGCAGTGCTGAAGTGAAATACTAAGATGCGGAGGTGCATGTGGAGCGGGCCGGCGGCGAAGGGCGTGGTTGTTGTTTTCAATCGGGAGGGAGTTTCAGACTCTGAGCTCCAGATCCGGGCGAGTCTCTAGGGACCCAGACTCAAACCGGAGAAGCGGGAAGGCAGCTTTCTCTCCGAGGTTTGCAGGGTTGCAGAGCCGCTGGGGACGGAACTGAGAGCAGCCATAACTGCTCGCTCCACCCGCCCTGTAGATCCCCTGGGTCCCGCCCCGCCCAAGCCCTGCACAGAGGCATTTGCCAGATAGCCTCAGGCAAAGGCTAGATTAGCACCGCCCACTGCAGACACAGCTGACTCTCCTAGCCAGTTAGCCTGGAGGTCAATTCACCCCCTGTATTGCCGACAACAATCAAGGCTTAACTACAACAAGACTGCACACAAAGACCACAAGGGGGTGCACCAAGAAAGCATAAAAAATGCGGAGACAAAAAACATGACAGAAATGCAGGATATAGAGCTAAAAAACGCACTTTTAAGGGCTTTCAATAATTTGCTAGAAACTGCGGATAAACTTGATGAGAGCCTCAAGAAATCTAATGAGACCCTCGATGTTGTGATAAAGAACCAACTAGAAATTAAGCATACACTGACTGAAATAAAGAATATTATACAGACACCCAACAGCAGACCAGAGGAGCGCAAGAATCAAGTCAAAGATTTGAAATGCGAAGAAGCAAAAAACACCCAACCGGAAAAGCAAAATGAAAAAAGAATCTGAAAATACGAAGATAGTGTAAGGAGCCTCTGGGACAGCTTCAAGCATACCAACATCCGAATTATAGGGGTGCCAGAAGATGAGAGACAGCAAGATATTGAAAACCTATTTGAAGAAATAATGACAGAAAACTTCCCCCACCTGGTGAAAGAAATGGACTTACAGGTCCAAGAAGCGCAGAGAACCCCAAACAAAAGGAATCCAAAGAGGACCACACCAAGACACATCATAATTAAAATGCCAAGAGCAAAAGACAAAGAGAGAATCTTAAAAGCAGCAAGAGAAAGAGACTCAATTACCTACAAGGGAATACCCATACAACTGTCAGCTGATTTCTCAACAGAAACTTTGCAGGCCAGAAGGGAATGGCAAGAAATATTCAAAGTGCTGAATACCAAGAACCTACAACCAAGATTACTTTATCCAGCAAAGCTATCATTCAGAATTGAAGTTCAGATAAAGAGCTTCACAGATAAGGAAAAGATAAAGGAGTTCATCACCACCAAACCAGTATTATACGAAATGCTGAAAGGTATCCTTTAAGAAGAGGAAGAAGAAGAAAAAGGTAAAGATACAAATTATGAACAACAAACATGCATCTATCAACAAGTGAATCTAAGAATCAGGTGAATAAGTAATATGATGTACAGAATGAACTGGTGATTATAATAGAACCAGGGACATAGAAAGGGAATGGACTGACTATTCTTGGGGGGGAAAGAGGTGTGGGAGATGCGGGAAGAGACTGGACAAAAATCATGCACCTATGGATGAGGACAGTGGGTGGGGAGTGAGGGCGGAGAGTGGGGTGGGAACTGAGAGGAGGGGAGTTATGGGGGGGAAAAAGAGGAACAAATGTAATAATCTGAACAATAAAGATTTAATTAAAAAAAAAACCTGTTCAGTACTTTCACAATATAAGCATACTGAATCCTCAAGGGTAACCTGGATAACCATAAACCTGAGTTTCTTAGTGTCTATCACTGAAAAAATCTATAATTACCCTCAAAATTAGCCTTCTCATGTTGGTGTCATACATACTGACCTTTTTCTCATCTCTTGTGTCACTAAAATCTGGAAAATAAACTCAGGGACATCTGTCTGGATTGTGTTCTTCGCATAGAGTAAATAGAAAACACTGCACCTGCCTGTTTGGGAGTAACCCCACATGTCAGCTGTTGCAGAGAGGAAGCCCAGCACCATCTCATTTTCAAGCTAACGCCATCTCTCTCTCAAGCTGGTCATTTGTCTTGTGAGTGTGATATGTCACAGTCCCCAAAAATACAAGATCTAACGGTCTGGCAAGGATTTAACAGTGTGTGCTTTTCCTTTCTTTCTGTTGAATGTATCAGTTACTTTTTTAGAACCAAAGTTCCAGGGAGAGCCTAACTTACATTAGTAAAATCATTACAGGATTAGCTATAATATTAAATAATAAGACCCAGGCATATGAAATAAGGCTCAGTTGTGATCTGGCTTTGGAGCTTGCAAGTACTCCCAATTTACCCAGGCGATTGTAATGACTACTTAAAATTTTTATTTTTCCCTTTCTGTTTCCTTGGCATGGCAAAACCTGAAGTTTCTTTTTCTAAAGCCACGTGATTTTATAATATGTATATAAAATCACACATTTTTTCCTCTGGGGGAAAAAGTGTGCTGTTTGTTTAATTTGCATTAGAAAAGCTGCATGCTCTCCCGTATTTTATAACCTTTGGTTTATGCAGGAATATGCTGAATTTCAGTATCGGAGGAGGCACAGACAGCAGCGCCGGCGAGGAGACGTGCACAGTCTGCTCAGTAACCCTCCAGACCCTGATGAGCCCAGTGAAAGCACTTTAGGTAAGTTCTTGGGTTGGGTATGTCTTAATCTCTTAGCTCTCTTGAGTTTATTCTTAAAACTGAGTAGGTGATTGTGAAAGAATTTGTAATTTAGATACACAATGTATAGGTAGCTGCTTCTAAGGTCACAGGGTACAGAAAACTAGGGGGGTTAAGAACGCAGGCTTCTGAGTCAGAAAGACCTGGGTTCATGACCCCATCTCACTGCCTATCAGGGAGACACTTCAGTTGAGTCACTGAACCTCTCCAAGCAGCAGTCTCCTCATTCTAAAGAAGCAATACTGAGAGTGCCACTAGGGGGCAATTGTGAGCTTTTAATGAGATAATGCCTGTAAAATCCTTAGGCATGAGAAGTACCTAGTGAGCATTCGTGAATTGTAGCTATTGGTTACTGTTGGCTGTGTTCATGGAATGTTTTTCTTTTAGCCTCACTTCTCCTATAAGCATTCTTAAAAGAAAATTTCTGGTATTAGGAATAAATTATCTTAATTATCAACTTTTAAATGTTAAGTTATAATTGAAAGTCTTTATAATATCAGCAGAGCATCTTTAGTAAATCAGGATCAACAGGCCTGAAGATTTGTTCTTCAGGCATTGTGGTTCCCAAATTCTTTTTATTTAAAAAATAACTCTGAAAACTAAAACACCTTTATTTATTGTTGCTTAAGAAAACAAAGAGGAGTAGCATTGGCCTTTCTAAATAGAACCATATGTAGTGCAAGCACAAATGCAAAGAATAATCATGGATTTGAAGCAAATGGTATGAGATAGATATTGTTGCATCTGGTGAGACAGATATGCATAAGAAGTCTCTGGAAGATTAAGTGAATGTGTGAACACAGGTTTTCACCTGCACTGAAAGAGGAATTGCCATTTAACTAAGAAGATGTATGAAATCTGTATGGCTGAACTGTCTCTGGTACCACTTGCTCTGAAACAGATCTCCCAGAAGGCGGCAGTGGCCGCAGACCAGGCACCTCCGTGGTCAGCTCTGCATCCATGAGTGTGCTGCACAGCTCTTCCTTGCGTGACTACACCCCTGCCAGTCGCTCTGAGAACCAAGACTCTCTTCAGGTAACTTCCTGGGCAGCCCCCTGGCCCCTGCTTCTGCTCTTGCTCTGTGTGGCCTGGTTTCCTGATTTCACTTTTATTGCTTTCCTTTTTCTTCCTTCCATTCAAAATTGTTTCAGGGATGTGCTACAGGAAAAGAGATTTAGCTTCAGGAATTTTTCCCCTATAACATGGAAACTAAAATAAGATTTGAGTAGATAAAATAATTCTTCTGTATAAATAGAGGTAATATTAATTATCTGTTAGGTAAAAACAATGGTAAACCTCATTGGGTTAAATCATTTTTTCTTTTAAATTTTAAGTGATTTTACTTTCTGTTGCCCTCAGGCTCTGAGTTCCTTGGATGAAGATGATCCTAATATACTTCTCGCAATACAGTTATCATTGCAAGAATCGGGGCTGGCCATCGATGAAGGAAACAGAGACTTCCTCAGTGGCGATGCTTCCTTAGGGGCAATAGGCACTTCTCTACCTTCCAGGCTGGACTCCGGCCCCAGGAACACAGATAGCCCTGCAGCTGCGTTGAGCAGCTCCGAGCTATTGGAACTTGGCGACAGCCTCTTGAGACTAGGAGCCGAAAGTGACACATTTTCAACTGACACCCTGAGTTCACACCCTCTCAGTGAGGCAAGAAATGAATTCTATCCCTCATCCAGTGACCCTGACTCAGCTGGCCAGGACGCCAACATCAGTGACAATCTTCTGGGCAATATCATGGCTTGGTTTCACGACATGAACCCTCAGAGTATTGTCCTGATTCCTCCAGCAACTACAGAAACCAGTGCAGATTCCCAGCGCCCCTGTGTTGGAGATGGGTCAGAAGGCGTGAAAGATGTGGAACTGGTGCCGCCAGAAGAAGACTCAGTGTTTGAAGATGCTGTGGTCAGTGAAGGTAGAGGAACCCAAAGAGAAGAAGAAAACTCTTTGGAAGAGAATATTCTGGCTGGGGAAGCAGTGCCTCAAGCTGGCGAAAGTGGTACTGAGGCAGCCAGCAAGGGAGCTGGTTCAGATGTCTCAAGTCAAACACCTCAAACCTCAAGTGACTGGCTGGAACAGGGACATTTAGTGTGAGCTGCACACCTCTGGCTCCAAGCGCATCGCGGTACAGGTGGCATGCTGGTGGAGTGTGCTTCATGGAAACTGGATCCACTTAATTCCAACTCAACTCTAAACCACTGACATTAGGGTTGAATACGAGGAGTTCCCTTGAATGGTGGCTTCGTTTCGGAGTTTAACCTCACAGGAAACTTCTTTGGTATTTAATTGGATAGCTTTCCCCTTTTTGCTGACAAAAAGAAGAGCAGGAGAGAAAGAAAAACAAATGGAGTAAGTAGGTTAGATTTCACACTCTAAGAAAATGCAGTCCTCTGTTTAGCCTAAGGTCAGCAATACTTAAAATGGAACATTTAAATTAAAGGCTTACTCCCTCATCCTTGGGTGGTTTTTCTCTTTAAAAAGAAAAAAAAAGGTTTTCTTCATTTTAGAAGTTCTTTTGGACAGATCTGGTAACACTGAGTTCCTCGATCTCTTTGTGCTCTTCCATAACTTTCTTCCTGCCTCTTGGTCTGAGCAGTGTGAATCGAAGTGTCCAAAGCTTCTCTTTAGTGCTGCATCTCCCACAATGTAATTAATTTTCATTTTCACATGAGTCAAAAATTTCTTTTCATGTCTTACAGTCCACTTGTGCCAAACTCTGACTTGTGCACTGAGAAGGCGTTCAGGTGTGGCTCCAGGGCAGTGTCAGCATTCTCGGGAGTAAAAGGTGCCACTTGGTAGCCATGAAATGCCAGGCTTTAATAGGCTTTTGTTGCCATGGAGACTGCATTTAAATAAATGTAGCCTGTAGCTTAAGTTAACTAAACCTAATGCTGCTGTTAAAAACAGTTTATTTTAATATTAAAATACAGTTGATTAGCAACAGCGGTGCTGTATTTTAAGAGACACTTTATTGAAAGTGCAATCATAGTTCTTTGTTTTCACAATTTTACAGTGCATTCTAATTACTAATGGGTGCAATTACTTTTAATGGTAAGTGTTTTATAAAATAGAAAAAAAGTGGAGTTTTTATGAGTTATAGTAAATCCGACAATTATTAAAAAATCCAGTAAGACATCCTGCGCAACATGTTACCGTGCCTTTGCCTAACCTCAATGGATAGTTGCCAGTTAAATAAGTGAGTCATTCAAATTTCAGTGTCTCTTCTGAAGTAACTATGCTATGAATTGCAGAGACCTCCATAAACCACCCATGGCCTTGCCTTTCCAGTCAATATAACAACTAAATAAATGTTCAATCCGTTTGTTTGCCTCAATAGCAAATGCTGACGTGTTTGTTCTGTTGCACAATACTCATTTGCTGTGTGACTACTGTTTAGTGTTGAAAAAATCAACTTCCTGGTTATCAGTGTCTTCCTGTGAAGAAAATACTGGTCTTAGTTGTAATTAAGATTCAATGGTACAGTGTGTAATTAAAACTAGAGTAAACTGTTGGAATGGCTCTTTTACTTACATATTACCCAAACTAGCATAACATAAGCAAAGTAGATAGGCAACACCCCATTTAATGTTTTGCCAGATTTTTACCAGAAGTCTACAGATACCAAAATTTCAGTACTGAGTTTGTACAGGCAAGTCCTGGACTGGGTGAAAGGTTGTATTAGTATTGATATTCACATGAGTTGTAATTATGGTTTTTTATTACTTTTTATTTTCCAAACCCTATTTTTGAAATATTCTTATATTTGGAATTCATGAGACCTAGGACATTATATTATTTAATATTCCTCAGGGTCTCCTGGGATTAAAAAGAAACTATGTAGGAATTGTTCCTCTGCTTTGGATGTCATAAGTCCACATTAGTTTTTATTTCCCCAATTATCAGAAACATTGATATCAACCCTTATTAATTTGTTGGGGTAAATATTAACTTTTTTCTACAGTGTATTACTGTCTATTAAACTGAAATAGTCCATTTAAGGATTTTTTTACAAGTTTATTTTGGATTAAAAATATCAACACCGATCAGTTTTTAGACCAAGTTGTAATTTTTTTCAAAAGAAAGAGTCTTTGTATCATATAGCTGTGTCTTGCAAAGTGTGGAAGTGCTGCGTGAAGGCTGTGGAGTGCATGTTCCTGGTGAGGCCGGTGCCTGGCACCTGGTGCAGTAAGTAGCCCTTGTTCCTGTGCTATTCTCTCCTGAGCATGAGGAAAGATCATTATCCAATTTGTACTTCCTTGGTACATATTTTAAAAACAACACAGTCATTGACTTTACAGTTCAGAAATAAAGTTTGGCAAAGCCTATTTTGTAAACACATTAATTTTATAATGTAAAAAAAATTACTCTAACCTTGACTTGTTATTTGCACTTTCATAGTCTATACTTGATACATTCCCCCTTTATATACAATAGGATTCTACAACCATGTAGATGTTTGGCCAAATGAATGCTGTTAATAATATGTAAAATTCTTTGATTAAACATTTATTACTTAAACTATTTCACTTTGGTCTCATTACATTATAGACTCTGTTTTAACCAAGTCAGGAAGCTGATCTTCTTCCAGTTAAATTCCTTCAAATATGATGGGACTAGTTTGATTCTTACATGTAATCAATCAGTGCCTAATATTTTTTACAGTGAGCATTTTATATCTCAGAAGAGTAGATTTCTTTCTAGAAAGATATAAGTGGACTTTTCTAGACTATGACATGATTGTCCTTATTTTAGGAACTGTGGTAGTCATACTTCTTAAAGAAAGAGGACCAGAAAAGCTTGCTTTTGCTCTCTGTTCCACTTAGGACTGACAGATGGCTAACAAACTGAGTGGTGGCCAAACTTGAAGGAATTACTCTTCTCAGTCTTTAAAATGAAACATTTGTGAGCAGGCTATATGTTACCTTTTAACCAGCTATTTGCACAAGGGACCAGTTTACAGACTGGCTGAGACCAGCACCAGCTTACCGACTGGCTGAGAGGGAGATTTATGAAAGAGCAAACAAAGCACAATATAGAAAAGGATAATCACTGGACCAAACAGTCCAGTCCTGGTGCACACCTTGTTTGAGTGTGCCTAACAAAGTCGCCTGGGCCAGTTATGCAGCTGGAGACCTTAGCAGCAGGCTTGCTTTCGGGCAGCACTGTCCTGACCCTGGCTCCTCAGCTGCAGCACACCCATTGCAGCTTAAATAAATGGAGCCTGTAGCTACATTCGCCCGGGCCTGCGATGTTGCTCCTGTGGAACTGGGGTCAAGGGAGCTGACACCAATGTGCTGATGTTCATTCGTATGCTGTGCTGTGAGTGCTTTACCTCTGACCCCGGATATCCTTATCCTGTCAGCAGCCATGGAGCTGTGACAGGCTGACTTACTGGTTTGTGAGCAGGGTGAAAGGAAGCCCCAGACCCCACAGTTTGACAGTCATGTTAGAATGCTGACAGACGTGATTTTCTGCAAGAGAAACTGGGCCTAGTTTGGGAATATAAGACTCCATTAAATCTGTGTGGTAGTGAACGCTCTCACCCAAGGGATAGACTAGGGGTGGGGCAGATTAAGGGTTCCCGTTGTCCTTTCTGTTACTGAACAGGAGTTGAACTGATGTTGACAGGCTGAGGGATCAGATGTAGGATTGAAAGGATCTGTCAGTGGTGCTTTGGTTGCTGCTCACTCCTACAGGCGAGCAGACGAAGGAATGTGTTCATGACAAGGAGTCAGTAGTTCCTGGAGCCTACCTGAAAGGTAATGTGATGCACCTGCTGAGTCAGGGAGTCGCCAAATGTAAAATAAATGTTATCAGCAATAGGAAGCTTGCTGCTTGAGTGTTTTGAGTGGACCAAAAACATTAGAAGTTCATTTGGTTGGGCTGCAACACTATCCAAATGCAAAAGGGAATGCAAAGCCTTGCCTAACGGTGCAAGTCAGGCCCCCTCCCAGCAGTGAGGATAGTGCTCAGTGCAGGAGCGACACCAGCTGACAAAAACTGTGGGTGTGCAGGAGCCGAGAGGAGGCCGTGGGCCCTGGCTCTGGATGCTGACAGCCTCACTCCTGCCGTGGGAGAGGTAGCTGTGCCACTGACCCCAGAGCAAAGGGCTGAAGGAGAAAGAGGACCCTCCCCCACCCCCGGGCTCCTCACCCCCTTGGTTGATCTGCCACCCATTTATCACCCGGCTGTAGCTCCTGACTCGCACGCATTTTAGACTCCGCTGGGAAAAAGCATCTGGACACTTTGAGTAGTGGGGAGAGGAGCTTCCCTAGTGGGCCTGGCCTTTTGGGTGACTCAGTGTAATGTATTGTGTGCCCAAGAATATCGTGGCACACGTGAATTGTCAGGGACCCTCTCATTCAGGGACTGCCTTATGTAGAGAGCTGATGGTGGGGCAGCAGTCACTCCCTAGCCTGCCTCCTTGTCCCATCTGTGGTGGTCCAGCAGAAACAATACAGAATCCCAGGAGAAAGGAGAAAGTTCTTTCCAACTTCCAGTATCATTTATTTTTCGAGGAGTCAACTGTTTACATAGTAAAAAGCTATGGGAGGTCAAAGGCACATGCCCGGGTTGTGGGTTCAATCCCCAGTGGGGGGCGTACAGGAGGCAGCCAATCAATGATTCTCTCGCCTCATTGATGTTTCTCTCTCCCCTCCCCCTTCCTCTCTGAAATCAATAAAAATATATTTAAAAGAAAAAAAAAAGCTTTGGGAGGTTAGTGCAACACTTCATAGGTTAGGACAGATAAGCAAAGAATAACTTTGTTTATATGTAAACTAGTGTATAAAGGCCAAATACCATAATATTAAAGCCCACGTGTTGCATATAAAATATTGTGTAGCGACATCAATATTGAGTAAATTTGTTGGTATGTCACATTTTCGTTTTCCAGTTATTGGAAATCACTCCTTTTAGCAACCTGAGTATTCAGGCCATCTCCCAGCACAACATCGCCACCTGCCGCCACGACCACCAAGTACACCCCTTTTGGAGAAAGAGCTATTAACCTGCTCTTGGGCTCTTGTTGAAACTGAATGCCTGACCCATGAAGCCTTCTGTGTCCCTTGGTATGACATCTCCACTTTAGGGTGAACAAACTGCAGTTGGAGAAGTAACATGGACCCAGCAGGCCTTGCAAAGAAATGGTTTATTTGGGAGTGCAGCTAACCTGACCATAACAGTATTTTAATTTTACATGAAAAACTGGTAGCTACCCCTTTGGGAGATACTTTGTGCCCAACTCCACTGCCTGAAATAAAGCCACTGGTTTATTGGGGGGGGGGGCCGGGGGCGGGGGCGGGTCTCAGTTCACAGGTGCCTGGGCTTGGTTCAACCACTTGGCAGTAATTTCTGCCAAATACCAACAACTCTTGTGGTTATAGAAAGGAAAGTCTAAAATTTATATGGAAAGGCAAAGGAACTAAAGTGGCTAAAACTATTTTAAAGAATAAAGAAATGGGAGGAATCATTCTACCCAATTTCAAGACCACAGTAATCAAGACTGTCTGCTACTGGTGGGAGAAGACACATAGATGGATAAAACAGAACAGAGACCCAAAAACAGTCCCACACAAATGTCATCAACTGGTTCTGACAATGGTGCAAAAGCAATGCAATGGTGGAAGGGTAACCCTTTCAACAAATGATGCTGGAACAGGGCTAGAAGATGCAAAAGTATGAACCTCTCCCTAAACCTCACACTTATATAAAACTTAAAATGGATCATAGATTTTAATGTAAAGTTAAAAATTTTTAGAGCCCTGACCAGTTTGGCTCAGTGGATAGAGCGTCAGCCTGCAGACTGAGGGGTCCCAGGTTCGATTCCGGTCAAGGGCATGTAGTTTGGTTGTGGACACATCCCCAGTGAGGGGTATGCAGGAGACAGCTGATCAATGTTTCTCTCTCATCGATGTTTCTAACTCTCCCTCTCCCTTCCTCTCTGTAAAAATCAATAAAATATATTTTTAAAAATAGAAAAAAGAAAGGAAAATTGTTATGATCTATGTTAGCAGATAATTCTTATCAAATTCTTGCCAAAATTATAATCCATAAAATAAAACATTGATAAATTGGACTTCATCAAAATTTAAAACTTTGCAAAAGACCTTATGAAGAAGATGAAAAGACAAGCTACAGACTGGGAGAAAGTATTTGCCAGCTATATATCTAGAATATGTAAAGAACTCTCAAAACTCAACAGTAAAAAGAAAACCCAATATAAAATGGACAAAATGCATGAGACGTTTCACAGAAGAAGACTGTGGCTAAGAAAGAACCTTATAAAAAGATGTTCGACATCACTATCCATCAGGAAATACAAGTTTAAATCACAAGACACATCACACCCCTACCAGAATGGCTGGAATAAATAGTATTAATACCAAATGCAGAGAAACTGGATCACTTATATATTGCTGGTGGGAATATAAAATAGCCCAGCCACCCTGGAAAATAGTTGCGTAGTTTCTTTAAAAACTAAGCAGGTACGTCCCAGCATTTGCACTACTAGACATTTATCACAGAGAAGTGAAAACGTATGTAAAATCCTGTATACATTGTTTATAGCAGCTGTACTTGCAATAGCCAAAAACTCGACTCCACCAAAATGTCCTGAAGTAGGCGAACGGCTAACCAGGGAATAGCCGTGCAGAAGAATCCTATTCGGCAATGAATGGGAACGAGCTACTGACACAAGTTGCAACGACTTGGATGGATCTCAAAGGCATTATGCTGAATGGAAAATCTGAAAATGTCACGGACATAATTCCATTTATATAACATTTTTGAAATGACAAAATAATAGGGAAATAGTGGTCACGGGGGTTGGGAATGCTGGAGGGGGCAGAGAAGGTATGTATGTGACCATAAAGGAACATCTGTGGTGATGGACTAGTCAGTACATTGGTTAGCATGCATCTACACGTGTGAGAAAATAACTATACATGCATATTGTACCAATGTCAACTTTCTGGTTTGGATTTTATACATTTTGTAAAAGATAACCACGGAGCGGGGGGGGGGGGGGGGTAAGGATGACCAGGTAAAGAGTACACAGAGCCTCAGTTATCTTTGCAACTTCCTGTAAATCTATATTTCAAAATAAAAAGTTGGTGTGTTTTTTTAAGAGATAAGCCAGATTTGGCATGCAGACTATAGTTTGCTGACCCCTGCTTTAGAACAACAATCAGGCAAATGTCGTCTTAGTACATTGGAGCTGTCAGCAGTGCTACAACCTGGGAACCGTAGAGATCTTCAGCAGTTTCATTTGTTTCAAGGACTTTGATTAAGCAAATGATACACTGCCAACATCCGCTCTGGCGCTGACATTCTTTGAGCCTGTGAGTGCAGTATGGCATACTAGGACACGGCTGACTGCACTAGCCTTTCGCATGCGTGATTTCATAAGGGCACTTGTGTGTAGATAGATGTGCTTATCAAACCATGCCTAGGGCTAGATGAGGAAATGCCCATTTGGGATAATATAAAGAACAAAAGTTAAAAGTAAATTATAGGCCCCAAATTTGTGGGCATTATAGAAAGTGTAACCTGAATCCTATGGATTCTCCTCACTCTTTTCCTGTAAGCTTCCATTGCCCCATTATAGGACATCTGGAGTTGATTTACAGACGGATTTGGGACCACTCTTGCCAGATGTTCAGATTGTGGACTCTCTTCTAAAAAAAAAAAGAATTTATATTACTAAAAGGGTAATATGCTAATTAGACCAGACGTCATTCCAGACATCCTTCCTGACGAAGCCGGGGCCAGAGGGAAGCCAGCCTAGGTCCCGGGTGCCTGCCGGCGGCTGGAGGAGGGAAGCCCGTGTCCTGGGTGCTGGAGGGAAGCCAGTACCAGCAGCTGGGGGAAGGAAGGCCTACTCTTGCACGAATTTTCATGCATCAGGCCTGTGTGTGTGTGTGTGTGTGTGTGTGTGTGTGTGTGTGTGTGTTGATTTTAGAAAGGAAGGGAGAAGGGGAAAGAGAGAGAGAGATAGAAACATCAATGATGAGAGAGACACATCAATTGGTTGTCTCCTGCATGCGCTCCTACCAGGGCCAGGGATCAAGCCTGCAACTGAGGTATGTGCCCTTGACCAGAATCAAACCTGGGGCCCTTCAGTCTGCAAGCTGACGCTCCGCTGAGCCAAACAGGCAAAAGATGAATTTCTAATACTGAGAATTAATCTACTCATTTGATTGACCTTAAGAGGTGTGTCTTGCTCAGTCTTTACTAAATGCAGAAATGAAAAGCATTAGAATTTGAATCATCACCACTGTGGAATGGCACATACAGTAGATGCACACAATAGACTATGTGCCTGGGAACATTGCTGAGACAAAAGAAATGCCTACTGGGGTTGCTGGGACAGCAGAAACTTAAGTGGAGAAAGAAATTGGCCAGCATTCCTTATTATATGCAGGAAGATTTTTTTGATGCCAGGAGGATATGCAAAACCTGAGGCTTTCCAGCTGCATTTGCTTTCTTGTGTGGACTTAACTCACCATGACTTTGGTAGCAAAGCCTTTGACAAGTGTACACACAGTAGTATTTGTCAAAATATCCAGACCAGGAAGCTTTAGAGGGAGGGTCCACCCGGATTTTTTTCTGGATGACTTTCCTGTCCCTTTCTCTTCTTCATGCTCACATTTCAGAGGTTACGCCCATCTTCAGGACTTTGCTGGTAGCAATGAGATTATAAACACAATGAGAAGCTTTACCAAAGTTGTGGAGATAGGGCTAATCTGAAATGACAGATAATCAAGTAGTCAGGTGTGTGTGACTATAGTGCTTATATTTCAAATGTCCTACTTGAGACCTGTAAGTTTAGTTATGTCTAGAAGTCGAGCTCTTGTGAATAATTCTAGAGACCAGAAGAGTCCATCTAGTCTCCCCATCCTCCCCACTGCACAGTTCACCCATCCTGTAAAGATGTGTGTGAATAAATAAGTCAGTGCAAAATACATGGCTGCTTCTTGTTTAATGGGGATGGAGTTTCAGTTTTGCAAGGTGAAAAAATTCTGGAGATGGGTTGCACAATAATGTGAATATACTTACTGCTATTGAACTATACACTTAAAAATGGTTTAAGACAGTAAATTTTGTTATGTGTATTTTATCACAATTAAAATTGAAAATTTGATAATATTATGGGACTTCAAAGGAGGCCAGTTGTCCCAGACAACCAGCGGAGGTGGTCTCTGAGTTAAGCCCAGACGTGTAGGTGGGACGGCGACGCTGGCAGGTGACGCAGTGCTCTCCAGCCTTTCGTGTACATTAACTTCATGAATCCTCTCCATCCCCTTCCGGGAAGATACCGTTCTCTTCAGCCTGACCCTGGAATCCAGGAGAAAGGCGGAATACTTTGGCTCATCTTACTCTTAAAGTCAGACTGTGCAGAAACATTCCCATAGAATGTCCGAATCAAGAGAAGAGAATGGAGTCAATATAGGTTTCTGTAATCAATTTTATTCATAGAGAGAGATGTTTACAGCTTTAACTAAGTGCCAGGAAAATGTCAACAAAATAACAGGCATCTAAGAAATGTTTAAGTATGGTATTTTGATACTCATCTTTTGAAATTACAAAAGTCAGAAATGTCCCACAGGAAGTTTTGCGATGTGACAATGGAACTTAAAATATATAACAAGTTACAGCTACCATCAACTGAATGTTTACTTTCATTTGAAAAAAAATAAGTACTCTAAAATATTTATTTTAATCACAGAGCTTATGAGATGGCCACCTCTGCATGTCTGAGCCTGGCGGCACTTCGCAGATGCCCTCCTTCCCTCTGGTCAGCACAAGCTAGCCTTGGCCATGGGCCTACCGTCCAATCAATTGCAAAATAAAAATAAAAAGGTTGATTATATCCAAGTAGATGTTCAGAGCAGCAAACACATACTCTTCAGGGTCCAGCTTCACATGATGGCTCCCCCCTACCAACAGCTGCACATCCATCACCAAGTACTTAAAGAAAAGAAAGAAAAATGAGCTACTTGAACTGTTCATTCCTATCCAATAACTGTCCTAAACCATCTGGGAAAGTTAGCATCGATACACATGGTTGCAGAAAGTCGGCTTGTGGCTATATATGTTGTTATACAGCCTCAGCCATTTACGACGTTCACGTTTGCACTCCATGAAGGCAAGTGCTTTGTTCTTCCTTTGCTTTTCCAGTCCAGTAGCCTTGTGACTTTAGTCAACGAGATGGGCCAGGTGGGCATATTGGACACAGTGATACTACAAAATGCCCTGTGTTCTCACTGAACAAAGAATGAAAATAAAATGGTTCCCCAGCATTTAGATTTACACACAGCAATAATTCTGAATTCCTGGAGCTTTGTGGTGATGTCGGTATTTCCAAAATAGAATGAGGGAAGGTCATGTGAGTGATCAGAGTGGAAGAGAAGGGAGTCAAACCCTAGGCTGGGGGATGCTAAAGCAGACGCCGGCCTGGACCACTAGGCCCTTCCCCCCACTCTCCCTCCTCGCTCCCTTTGTGATTCCAGCAACTCTGGGAGGTTTCTACTTTTACCATGTGATCCAGCAGTCACACTCCTTGGTATTTACCCAAAGCAGTTGAAAATTTATGTTCACACAAAAACCTGCATGTGGATGTTTAGAGCAGCTTCATGCAAAATTGCCAAAACTTGGGAGCAACCAAGATGTCCTTCAGTAGGTGGCTGAATACATAAACTGTGATACATCCAGACCGAAATGAGCTCTCAAGCCATGAAAACACACAGAGAAACCTTAAAAGTGTACATTACTAGGTGAGAGAAGCCAGTCTGGAAAAGCTACATACTGTCTGATTGCAATTATATGACTTCTGGAAAAGGCAAAACTGGGAAACAGTAAAAAGGTCAGTGGTTGCCAAGGGTTGGAGCCAGGGGAGGAATGAGTAGGCAGAGCACGGGATATTTAGGGCAGTGAAAATACTCTGTATGATACCATACGATGGAACATGTCGTTTATTATCCATTTTTCCAAATGCATAGAATGTACACCCACAGTGAACCTATTGCAAACTGTGGAGTTTGGGTGATATTGACACCTCAATGTAGGTTCATCCATGTAACAAATGTACCTCTCCGGTGAGTGTAGTTAATAATAGGGGGGGCTGTGCATGTGTGGGCAGGGGTATATGGGAATCTCCGTATCTTCCTCTTGATTTTGCTCTGAACTTAAAAGTGCTCTAAAAAATCATCCTTATAAAAGGGGGAGGAGGAGCAGGGGGAGAGGAAGGAAGAGGAGAGGGAGGAGGAGTGGGGGGGCGGCAGCAGCAGCAAGTCTCCAGGAGTGCTTTCCAGTGAATCACTGACTCTACTTGACTCCATGCTTAGCACAAGGGCTAAGGCGGCACCTTCCATGCATGTACCCTACGCTGCCAAGAGAAGGAGAAATGGACTTACAAGTGAGAAGAGCACAGTTCCGAGTGCAGCATACAACAGATGCAACCACTGCAAGAAGAAAGGAGACAACTGAATATTAAGAACAAGATTTGAAATAACAAAAGGGCGCACTTAGGTCACTGCTGTTAGATAAGGACCCAATTTTAAGAAAGTCATATCTGGCTTTGATCCCTCCTGCTCCCAGGATGAATTTAATGTCTCTGAACCTGTCTTCTTATCTATAAAATAGATGAGATGTGTACTTTTCAGGAATGTTGTGAGAACTGAATTGGATGCCTATAAGACAAACACATGGGCCTATGTCTGATACCTGTGAGAAGTCAGTGAATAGATTAAACAAAAAAAGGAATAAAGAAAAAAATAGGAGCCTCCTCTAGCTGCTGTTGGAAAAGTCCTACGGAGCCCATCTCCACTCCCATCACTTCAAACAAGCAGCACAAGGAGTCGGATCTACCCTGTGCGCAGGTCCACCCACACTCCTCCTAGGGAAGGACAGCGGTAGTCCAGGGTAGGAGCTCCACCATCATGGCCAGACCTCCTGTCCCTGGGACCCAACCACCTGGCCAGCCCCTGGGACGGGCCTCACAGTCCTACTGCCCCAGGGCCACTGCAGCCGGCTCCTGGGCCACACTCCACTTCTCAGTTGGTGAGAGACACGGGACCACTGTGCTGGGACGTGGACGTTACCTCCAGGACTTCCTGGTGGCCTTGCTGAGCCTTCCATCGTCCAGAATGCTCCCACGGACCCCCTTCCGGTCCCTCACCTGGGGTCGCATTGGCCCTCGAGGCCGGACGGCTCTACCAGCCTTCGTCGCTCCCCCACTCCTTCTCTCTCGCAGACATTTCTCCCAGGAAAGTCCCCCCACTCCCATCTCGGCTCTGCCTCTCAGAGGCTCCATCCTGACACCACCAGCCCCTCCCCTGGATCCCTAACGGTCCTCCGGGGGAGGCCCACTTACGTATGACCGTATGAAGATTAAGATGATTCCGTAGATTAAAAGCACGACCAGCGCGACGAACAGCACTCCATTGAGCAGGGTGAAGTCCAGCTGGGGAAACACAACACCAGGCACCACTCCGTCACCGCCTCCACGGAATTCCAGGAGGGTGAGGATGCGCCTCATACCCCGCAGACAGAAACTGGCCCGTTGGCTCATATGTACCAGGCCAGTTTGGAGAACCAGGGAAATCCATCAGCCCAACCACTGACAACAGGACATGAAGGGTCCTGCCGCCTGGGACTTGCTGCTGGCGGGAGGGGAGGGAGGATGGTTTTTGAAGCTGGGCAATGGGCACATGGGAGCTCGTTTTGCCGCTCTACAAAATGTTCCCTAATGAAAAGGCACATTGAATGAGTAGGATGTAAATTTGTATGTGTAGCATGATCATAATTATGCTCATAATTACCCATGTCTTCAAAGTGTGAGCATAGACTACATTAATGAAATAAAATAGACCTAGAGGTTAATTAACTGGGTACCCTTTTCACATTTGTATGCATACCTTTGAATATATA